GCAGCCCTTGAGCTGGCCCTATCAGCTTGTGGGACCAACTTCACCGGTGCGCGCTCGTCTGCTTCGAGTGCAGCGCGTCCCGGAGGCGGATCTACCCGCACTTCCCTCTTGGCCTCTTCCACCCTTAGGTTGGTCTGAGGCACGTCGGGTGCGTCGGGTGTTGACCCGATGTCCAGCGCCGAAGATGGCACTGACCCCGGCTCTGGTGCCGGTGGGTCTGGCTCAGCCGAAGGATCGGCTGGTGGATCGGCCGATGGGTCGGCCGGTGTTGGCTCAGCAGGTGGCGCGTCCGTGGACTGGCCTGGCCCTGCTGCTGCTGCGTCTGCCGCCTCACGTGCGGCTCTTCGCTCTTGACCCCGTTGGATCCTGGCCTCTGTCCTGGCCACTGAGCGATGTCCTCGCCGATTCCTTTCTTGGGCGAATCGACTGCTTCGAGATCGATTCGTGTCTGGTCGGCTTCGTCCCCACCAACTGTTGTCGGTGGTTGTCCCAGCGTCCCTTGTTGCAGGAGCTCTGGGTTCTTGCTGGGAGTAGTCTACCCAGCCACGGCTTGCCCAGTCCTGAGCTTGCCAGTCACGGTCGTCCCAAGGGGTCGACCTATTCCAGGATTCCCAGGTGTTATCCCGAGAAGCCGTTTTGTTTGGACTCTCCTACGCAGCCTTGGCCACGTAGGCTTGTCCTCAGTTTGGGCGGGGCTGCCCGCGGCCTTGGCCGGCGGAGCTGCCCGCTCTTTGACCTGGAGCGGTGGGGCTACCCACGCAGCTCCGCTACCATGCAAAGGCAGAGATGGTAGTGGTCAGCGTATTGGGCTCTCACAAGTTACTTACCCCGCTAGATGGACAGCTGCCACACAGTGGCACCTTTTTCCTTCCTTGAATGCACGGTTGTGCAAAAGGGGCTGCGGTCATGAGCTGTTGTCATGCCATGCCGTCTCTACCTAGTGAACTGCCTAGCTAACTACAGTAGCTACCTAATTCCTAGGTTTTACCCTTTGCAGTTTGCCAACATCCCAGAATCTTGGTGTTGTCTGCGTCCACCACCTTGCAAGAACTGGTTGGAGTCTTGCGTCAGCATCAGGTAGCCAATTTGGTGTGTGCCATGCACAAGTCCATCAAGTCTGGCTCTACTTAGGTATTGATTGCCCCTCAGTGAAAGCACCACTGCTTGTTTGCAAAATTGCGTCCAAAGTGTTCTGGACTGACACAAAATTGCCTATTCCGTCTGAAACGATTCTCCGCGAAACGTCTCTTACCAATTCTGCCACTGCACGCCAAATCAACTTGGTCATGAAACTTGCCGACAAGGAACGAGACTAGGGAAGCTAGTCAATGTGAAAAATACATCACGACCATTGAGATCTTCGCACCCACCAGCCCGCAGCTGCCAGGCCAAATCGACACTGGGACGATCTCGTAGCTGCACCAAAGGCAGTGTCTTGTCATTTGCATGTGTTGAGAGCCGTGCTTGCTATATCGGTGTTCATGGTAGTCTGGAAACGACTAACACCCAAGATCGAATCGTTGATCTTGTGAATCAGGTGATGCAGAAGCTGACGATGACGAGATCAGTCTCTGATCGTGAGCTTGGAGAGGTGCATTTGTTTTGTCATGTTCACATGTCACTCCCATGCACAGGCGGATCTCCATCGCAGAACTTTTCAGGTGGAAAACGCATTCCAGAACATGAGAAGAAGTTTTCGAACCTTGTCACAGCTTGTGAGAAATTGTTGAATAAGCTTGAGAAGCACGAAGTATCCATATCGTTTGAATTGCCAAATTCCAACAGGTACTGGACCCATCCAAAGCTGCAAGCATTCGTTCAGGCCAGAGTTCCATTCAGGTCTGTTGTCCATGCTTGTGCAATGGGAATTGAAGGGCTTCCAGGATTGCCCATCAAGAAAGCGTTCAGGATCATGTCAAGTTCAGAGGAGCTTTGTCAACGTCTTGAGAAACGTTTTCATTGTGCCTGTGATTTTCATGCATCATTCAATTTTTCTGACTTTCAGTTGTTAGAGAAATACTCCAGGAAGTTTGCCAGGTTTTTTGTACGAATGCTCGCATTATTTGCCCTCAGGTGATCGAAGGCGTCGAAGCTACTGCCAGATTTTATCGCCTGATCTTCCCCCGTGAAAAAGGGGAGTCTGCTGCGTTTTGACTGGACTTGTGAAATCATTTGAGAGTTGGATGGACTTGTGAAGCCATTTGAATACTTGGATAGACTTGTGAAGTCGTCTGGATAGAGACTGCTGGATATATGTTTAAAACATAAGGCAGAAGTTCTCTTTGATCGTTGCCCTGTGCGTTGCTTGGATAGTCGGATCTAATTATCGAGACTTTGAGGTCTGACGATTGCATCAGGTAATTCTAGTTCCAGTTTGAACTGCAAGAGGCAGGCTTCATGGCACATGTTCCTGGTAGCATTCCAGAGCTTCAGAGCCAATTCTCACGCACCGGCATCCGTAAGCTTGGTGTGGTGATTGCACCAGGTCGCTCCCCCAGACTGGTTGACAGGTCCATCACTAACGTGACGGCTAACACTGTTCTGCCCAACCACATGATGCTGCCTCGGATCTCAGATGTGCATCAGTGTGCACCTGAAGGCATGGCCCAACAGCAGAGGATCCAGCTCACACTTGATGTCTAAAAGGCTCATTGCCAAATTCTTATCGACCCAAAAGATGGGGGCATGCTCTGTTTCTACGCCAATGGGGAGCTATACCGATGTATCGCACTCAATTTCGGTGCTCCGAACCAGTGGATGGTACTGGGGACGTTGTGACAGGTCATGCGTTGCTGGCGCATGGACATGGTGTTATGGCAGTACATGGATGATCTCCTCGCCTGGTTTGTCCGCGTGTCATCACCTTTGTGGGCGTCTCTGGTGGTTCTGCTGTTCCTGATTCTGGGCATTCCAATGTCATGGCATAAAGCGTCCTAGCTGTAGAAGTGGACTGGATTGGCTGGCGCATTTCTGTGGCAACATGGTCCATATCAGTGCCTCCGGAAAAGCTGCAGAGAATCATCAATCAGCTGGAGACCATTTCCAAGGGCTCTAAGCCCTCAGCGAAAGATCTTCAATCTCTCATCTCATTGTCCGCTAACCCTGGCTCACTTCGGTGTGGCACTACTTAGTCACTACTTGCGACCATTGTTGATCCTGTTGTACCGTGCCCTGCATCGAATTCCAACGATGATGGTTGGTATGGACCATGTCACTTTTCAAACATCTGTCTCCGCTTTGTCACCGCAGCTGATTTTGGACCAGAATTTGTCTCAGAAACATCTATCGCTCCTTCGACATGTCACATTGGTGTGAGTGGCCAATTCTCATGTGAGCACTTTGGGTGAGGTGCACAAAACTACATCTCAAATCCAGATGTGTTTGGATTGGTATTACAGACTCACTGTCACCGTATCGTGTCTTGGATTTTGAAGCCTGCGTTGTGTTGGAGGTCTGGTGACAGTTGTTGGTCTCCACACCTTTCACCTTGTCAATGACACCCGCTGCCCACGTTGATGTGACAGCTACAGCAGATGCGATGGCATCACAGAATCTTGCAGGCCTTGGTGGTGTCGCCTTCTTTCCTAATGGGTCCGAATTTCAGATTACACTCTCTGAAACTCAATGCCTTTGGGACTGGAGAAATGCAGAAGCACATAGCAGCATGGGACCTTCTCGCGCAATTTGCTTTCACATTCTGCATTGAATCCCTCCCTCGTTGTCGTGGCCCAGTTTCGTGCCAGTAGGCCACCGATAACAGTGCGGCCGATGCGGCGTCGGCCCAAGGTCTCTCCATGACTCTCGCCGTTGCCCGTTTCAGATTTTGCCCAGCGTGTCGCATATCCCTGGGCATCTGAACGTCCTTGCGGACTCGTTGGGTCGATTCAAACAACCTCTACTTGTCGAACTCACTACCACCGACTTTTGGGAAGTGAACGGAAGAGGCTGCTTGCGTCGTCTTCAGTCCAAATTGCGCAGACTGGCCGAGAGTGGCCCAAACATTGTGGCATTGAACCAGAAAAAATGTGTTGCTGCAGTCTGCCGACTGGTGTCTCGAAATCGATTTTTGTCTTTGGGGAGTTCATACTCCGGCTGGTCGATTTTCGATTCTGTTTTGGTGCTGTTGAACTCCCCACCTCTTTCAATCAACCAGTTTACAACCCCTGCCTTCTGGGTTTGTATATCTTGGTTGTGTTGGGGTTGGGGTACTTGTTTGATCTGGACATTGTCTGTACATAACTAGGACCCGCAGGTTCTTTAACCCAAGTTGTAGAGTCATGAATCAGATCAAATGCACCACACATAAAACAGCGCTTGGGCATTGCGGCAGCGCTTGAGTTTGTATGCTAACATGTGATGTATATATTTGGAAGTTGAAGCAAAGGAAACCATATTGTGAACATCTAAATTATTTACCTTTGTTTATTTTTTTGATGAAAAATCCCACTTCGCGATTATAAAAAATCGTTTTAGTTTTAGGGATATCATGGACCCAAATTGTGGAGTGAAACCAACCAACCATGTCGGCGCAGAGATTTCAACATTCACCGCAGCTCTGAAAAGTGATGACGGGAAGGCCTCATTGCGCAGTTGAATTTCTGTTGCGCAAAGGTGGGAAGAGGCGGTTTGATTTCGATATGGGGTTTCCAATCACCTTGTATGTTATGTTTTTGTTTTCTTAAGTCTTGGTTTTTGTGCAAGAACCAAGAAAAATCCCACGAAACATGATTTTTTGTTTCATCTGAACAAAATGCAGTTTTGGCTGGGCCAGATCTTGAAATTGCAAAGTTCGTCAAATTTGGTGACATTCGAAGTGGATGGTTGCGTTGGTTACATGATAGTCATTTCTTTTCAGGCATACAAAATCAATCCATCAGATTCAGTTGGTGTTTTTTTTGGGCAATTTCTTGAAATCCAATTGCAGTCTGTTTGCGGGTTGTCCAAACAGTGGCCGCCCGTGGCTGTGGTGTTAGCGTGTTTCCCTGAAACTGGCGAACCTCATGGGTGGCCTCGTCTCGGCAATGCAATGGTTTGATCCTGAGTTACGAATGTTAGCTCAATCATTAAATGGGGGTTAGTTGTTGAATTGTGCAAACATTATTGAATCGGGAATGGGTTGTCTTCAACTTGTGGTCTGTCAGTTGATGCCGCCTGTGATCAACAAAAACACCAAATTGTACAAGGTTGATTTTTCTCGATTTACGCGTGTTGGAAAATTTATATATATCTATATATATATAATTACATGAAACTCACAAAACATGGCAAAAAAACATGCTTGGGACAAATGGGGAAAACTACTCTCTAGCTAGCTCTATTCTTGGGAACAACATTTTGACGTTTTTTCTGTCCAACTGCACACTGCACTATTGCTCGGGAGTTCGGTTTTTGGAGGTTTGCACTCTTGGCCAAGCTTGCCCTGCCACTTTCACGGTGGTGCGACCCTAGCGTCAGCGTTGACAGTTGGCAAGTTGGGCTCAACGAAAATAAACATGAAACACAGATGGCACAGTGAACAACAGTTCAAAAAACACACGATACAGTTGAAAAATAACAAGTAGTGTCATTCCTAGTGTTTGAAGGACGGATACATCCAAACATTCATTTTTATTCATGATGTGACAACCTTGGAAATGAAGTATTTTGGTGCGGTTTCCATTCCAGAACGCAAAAGAAGAATCGTGACGAATTCAACGTTGTAATGTTGTGTTCAGATGTTTTCAGGATATTCCTATTGGCAACATTGCATGTTATGGGTACAATTGGCATGCTTGCACATTCAACAACCAACTATTTAGACTTGCGAAACTTGATTGACAGTGGCATGTACATCCTCTGTGGAAAATGGTCACATCATGTCATTTTTAGTAGTTTGACTTGTACCCCGAGATGTGCGAAATGCATTTTGACAGTGGGATTACCAAAACAAACGTCAGGTTTTCTGGTTGTGGTACAGTTGTAGCAACCCAAACCCCTTGAATATTCGGTGGGAAGCAACGCTGAACCATGTGTGTTTCTTGCTGATCGTGTACGTATTTCCAGATGTGCCTAACAGGTTGACCGTCCCCTTGTCAGGTATGGGAACTTCTACATTGTTGTCCTTGCCATTCTCTTGTGGTGACCTGCAGGTGGTCAAATAGTATTGGATTTGAGGAACCTCAGAGGCATTGAATTTCAGGCTCCGAAACTTGACGATGCATAGGCCTGCAAGGACCTTTGTACAAAAACGCATAACACCTCAAATTTTCGAGGCCATCTGGTGGCATCTTGAGGAGAAAAACATGGGACATCTTCAGATCATGGAAGGAAATTTGGAAATCATACTTCCGTGTAACGGATTTTTACAAATCATTATCACCACTATCACAATCGCCAAGAGATATCTCACAGCCAAGGTATATCTCACAGCCGAGAGATCTCACAGCCAAGGGATATCTCACAGCCAAGAGATCTCACAGTCAAGAGATCTCACAGCCAAGAGATTTCACAGTCAAGAGATCTCACAGCCAAGAGAGATCTCACAGCCAAGGGATATCTCACAGCCAAGGGATATCTCACAGCCAAGGGATATCACACAGCCAAGGGATATCTCACAGCCAAGAGATCCCACAGCCAAGAGATCTCACAGCCGAGAGATATCTCACAGCCGAGAGATATCTCACAGCCAAGAGATATCTCACAGCCAAGAGATATCTCCGCCAAGAGATATCTCATAGCCAAGAGATATCTCCGCCAAGAGATATCTCATAGCCAAGAGATATTTCCGCCAAGAGATATCTCACAGCCAAGAGAGATCTCACAGCCAAGAGATATCTCAGCCAAGAGAGATCTCACAGCCAAGAGATCTCACAGGCAAGAGATCTCACAGCCAAGAGATCTCACAGTCAAGAAATCTCACAGCCAAGAAATCCCACAGCCAAGAGATCTCACAGCCAAGAGATCTCACAGGCAAGAGATCTCACAGCCAAGAGATCTCTCGCACAAAAGCTTCGTTTTCACATCTTCGACTTTCCGATTTTGAGGGAGGTCTCGCACCAAAGCTTCGTTTTCAAATCTTCAGCTTGCCTTTTTTGAGGGAGGTCTCGCACGAAAGCTTTGTTTTCACATCTTCCACTTTCAGATTTTGAGGGAGGTCTCGCACCAAAGCTTCGTTTCCATATCTTCAGCTTTCAGATTTTGAGGGAAGTCTCGCACGAAACCTTCGTTTCCACATCTTCCACTTTCAGATTTGAAGAAAGTCTCGCACGAAAGCTTCGTTTCCACATCTTCCACTTTCAGATTTTGAGGGGACTCTTGCACGAAATGCGTTTTTGAGAGATAGCGGATGCACGACACGCTGTGTTTTGCAGGACAAAAAGTGTCCTGGAAGATGGATGGGGAAGCTTGTCCGGCGGACGGGCGCGGAACATGCTCGGTTAGGGTCGGATCATGGTCGGATTGGCTCCGCAGTGGAACTGACTGTTCAGGCGTCATTTTCATAACTTCAACTTTCAAAAATTGAGGGAAGTCTCGCACAAAAGCGTCGTTTTCACATCTTCAAGGTTCAAATTTTGAGGGAAGTCACCTGTATGTTGACTTGGAACTCAACGATCTAATGACACATACAGATACATACAGCGCCCTGACCACTTTTTCATCGTGTATATGATATACAGATATACATATCTATATTTATTTATATATTTATATTTATATACATACGTATATTAATACTGTATACTGTATATGTCTGGCTATCTATGATGCAGATCACAGCGCGGCTGTTTTGCAATTGTGCACACAACCTCAATTGCGTTGACACATATATGATTTATGTAATGTAATGATGTGTGAAGTGAAGTGAAGTGAAGTAATGTAATGTAATGTAATGTAATGCTTTGCTATCCTATGCTATGCCATGGTATGTAATGTTATGTTATGCTATGTTGTGTTATGTCTATCTCGGTTTTTTCAGATAGGGAAAACACTGAATAAAGTCGTCCCACTGAGCCTTTTGTTATGGATGTGCAAGTGGTGAGGCCCTCGGCCATAGCCGCGGGACTGTGCCCAGGTACAAAACCCACGTCTTCACTTACACCATCGATGCGGTTGCAGAGGAGGCATGCAGAAATATCCCGAAAAAATGCGGGGTCCAGGTGAAACGCAGGACTCTAAACTTGCGACGTACAGATGAGAAAATCTTGCAAATTTAGGTTTTGTATAATGGCATTAAAAAAAACGACGGACGAATCCAATTGTAAAATGGTTGGTTTGTCATGGCACATGGCCAGGCTGTGGTGCTCTTCTTCTTTGCCGTGCTACTCCACTCGCGTTTGGCCTTGTTGGGTCGTGGTTACGGGACCGCTCAGGGAGTCCGAAACCAGAGTGGAGTGCCAACAGCCGCATGCCATGGAGCTTTGCCAAGGTTTTGGAAGATCAAACAGAACAAATATTATATGCGGTGTATGTGTGTATTTCACCATGGTACCTTAAGCATGCACAGAACGACATGATGATGATTAGTTGATCCATTTGGAGGTGTTTGAAGGTTGGGGAACGTCATGGTCCTTCCAACTCAGATTCTGCGAAGCATAAACCCTTATTGATCCCAAATGTGGGCTAATGTGGGTATTTCCCGAGAGACCAGGTTGGGCCGAACCAATTGCATTCGACACTTTTATTGAACAACCACATCAAGGAAACCAAGAACTGTTGAGTTGAAACCACCCATTCAAATTGATTCAGAGGTGAAAAACCAGCAGATTCTTACGATAGTCCACTGCACGTGGTGGCACCCATGCTGTTTTTTTTTTGTGGCTCAAGCGCTGTTCGCCACGCTGATTGACGCGCTGCACGTGGCGTTGCTCCCGTGGTGCTATGACGACATTGATCGAGGCGTTTCAGGCCTTCGCAGGTCCGGGGATCATGAGGGGAAAGGAGGGATCAATGCTAGAAAGGGGGAGTGGAATGGTGATGATGGTGATGGTGATGGTGAAATTGCAGGGAACAAGGCAATGTCATGCAATGTCTATATATCTTAAATTGCAAAAAAACAAGGCAATGTCTATATATCCTATATATCCTATAGTTATATAGCTCTGGTTTTTGTTATATCATGCTATATCTATACCGTATCATATATATACACATACACACATGTAGACTTAGACGTCTAACGATTCATCTGGTGAATTCGTTCAACAACATATATGCCATTTGCCATCTTGGGTTTGATATAGGCATGATGGTGAATGATACTTCTCATAAGTGATGTGGAGGAGGATCCAAAAAACAGGGTCATCATGAGAAACTTGTGGATGGCTTTCAGGAGGGTCATGTTTCCCTACATTCTTTTCCTAGAAAAGTGCGGCCACAAACGGACAAGGTATTTTTGACCTGACTGAGTCTGATCCGTATCAGTGTTCATGTCTTGATCTTTATGTTACAATATGTTATATATTATGTTTTTAAGGAAATGGCATGAACAAGGATCTCGCTAGGCCCACGCTAAGCGACAATGGCCATTCCTGCCAGGGCAGGGACAAGAGATGGATGGGCGCACCTGGGTGAAGTGCCTGAAGGAGCCCGGAAAATTGGCTGCCCGGAAAATCCATGGGTTGCAGGTCCCTACTTTTGGTGTGTCTGAAAGGTTGCGGGTACCCTACATTTGATTGTTTATCACCATATATCACCATTTTCCAATGAACCTTGCCAATTGGAATTGTACCCAAACACACCCACAGTGATGACCCGCACCAACTTACAGCCGGCCTCACAATATCCAGTAGCTCTTAGGCAAGCCCCGAGATATGGTTAGCCAGAACCGGATTATCAAGGGTAAGAAAATCCTGCGTCGCTTGAAGTAACCAACCCAACTGAAAGCTTTGGTGGGTTGGGTGACTGGAGAGCCTGATTTTCCATGTCAGCCATGGTCTTTCGGACAAATGGGTGAAATGGCAATGGGATCAATTCTTATGAAACGGTGGTCGGGATGGCACATTAAAGTCCTGCAGGCACACAGACACAAATTCCGCTGACTTGACATTGACATGGGAATATCCTTGACGACTGCTTGGACACTGGAATCAAAAGCATCCTGGAATGCCAAGCAACCATCTACAGAACATGTTCGTCTTGACGAAACACATCCATTTCCTTCAAAAATCATCAATTTCGCCAGAACGAATCCATGATTTTTCTCCCAGGTTCCAAGTGACAAAACCTATTTGCAACAGGACTCCATGCTGTTGGACGAGGATTTTACCTCCGTGGATGCTGATCTCATCTTCGCCCGGGTGAAGGGAAGGCCAAATCATGGGTTTCGAAAGTGTGAAGCCATAAGACTTTTGCTCCACCAGAGCGGTTCATTGAATATGATTGAATGGTGTTTCAATTGTTTTCTGATTTCTTAGGTACTTTGGCACTTCCGAGACCGCTTGCTTAAGCTCAGTGATTTGACCACGTCCCATAGGTTGCCCTTGGATAATCCAGCACATTCCTCCTGGAATTGGAGGAAGAAAAAACATCGAGAATCATTTTTACTTATCAAATATACCCAAAACATAACAATGATTGCCTCTCCAAAAACTGTTCCACCCACCTAATACCAACCCAATGAATTCCGGTTTCACCCAGTCCTCCTTGGTTTGCTCAGGGGTGCTCGTCGAATCGACTTCGCGACCTTCCGGAAAGCCTTGGGCGAAGTGGCCAAGAAGTGGAACAGCATGACGCAGGAACAGGTCGCTTGGATATCAGGTTTGCAGAATCTTTGGCATCCTGGACCCTGAAATGGGGCACTGGAACCAGTGTGAGATGATCATCCAAAGTGGGAGTGGTTTGGTGGCTCGCTTGGTGGATTCATGGGTTGAAAAGTGATGCAGATTTGATGGGGAAGCAAGTGTCAGGAGGTGATTAAGCAATGCAAGAGCTGTGTCTCAGAAGCTGAAGCGACACTGAAAAACACTTTTTGTCTTATTTGTCCATTTTGTTTTTTAACGGTGTTAGTTTCTCCATGGGAGGGAGCTAGGCAGCTAGGATTTTTGTCATTTATTTCGCACCAAGCAAACACGAATGGTTCCAAATCGCAATTGAAGTTCCTGATTTTCCGATCGCTGAACCTTGAGATTGACCTTTTGTTTTAAATGCCTCCGGTTACCAGAGGCATTGGGGGATTCCCAGCGACCCAGGTTGAGGATATCGTTTGTTTGGCCTCCGCTCCTCACTATGACAACCAGGCGCCCAACTTGATCGCTGGGCCATCTGTTACCAGTTTTATGGAGGCTTTTGGAGTTAAAAGATGGGGCCTCCAGGCATAATGCGGCATAAGTTGGTTGATAAAGTGCATGAAAAAACTGGATGTAAATTATCATCCATGATAGAATCCTATAATTATTATCTATAGTAATAGGCTAATAGGTATCTTTCTATAACTACAATAATTATCAGATATCTATTTCTATAACAGTTATCATTATCCTATAGTTATAAATTATCATCTAAAATGATATAATCCTAGGTCCTAGTCATTCGGACCATAATTATTGAGACTCACCTTCCTGGTGCCAGGCAGATATGCCCCTGGATGACACTCAGGGACCTGCGCGCTTTTACTACGACATGTCACTGTACACAGGCTCAGCCCGTTGACAGCTCCCTATGACTTGGAGTTGGAGCCCCAAAGTCTGAGGGAGGAGATGGTTATATGCTGAAAACTTCTGTAAGGTGGTAAATCCAACAATAGATCAGTCTCATATTTTACTTCTTGGAGATGATTGTAAACCATACTTAATTCGATTTACACACTCCTGGACATTTGAGGGACCATATTTTTGTTTTTAAGGAGTAGAAAGCTGAGGATTTTGAGTGAAATAGGCCTGTGGAACCATTAGCGATAGTACTTTCTGGCACAGTGGGTGTACCTCAAACTCACATTGGCCCCCCCAAAACTTAGGAACATCAGGAAAATATGTGCGCGTTCAATTTCTGATGACGTGAGATTTCCAAATAAGGTGCAGCCTGATGTTGATTTTTTTTCAAAGAACGGGTCTTGCATAGGTCAATGCGAACCTGAGCCGTGCCAGGAACACACAAGTATGGTGGTCCTACAATGGTCGGCAATGGCATTTGTGAGGGATCGCCCGTGGATTTCCAGGCGACACAACGATGGGAGTGAGACTTACGGTGAGACCAGGTGACCAACATGTCAAGAGTTGGTACCCGAAAAATTCTGCGACACGAACATGACTTAACAGAACCGAAAAATGCCAAACAACCATGGATGTAGATCATGTATATCTGCTTTGTCAATAGTGGGGACAGAATCAGAATTGGGACCAAAACAGAGCAACTAGCTGAGTCCACCAAGGTTTGAGCCGATTTGTAGCCATCCTAGCAGTTGAGACCAGCCCTTGTGATACTTTTGTGTCTTTCTTTAAATTGGCAATGCTCACCTCAGGACTGGTTAAGCAGCAAAGCTGGCGACGGTGCTATGTGCCAAACTCATCAACCCAACGAACATCAATGGTTTCATCCTAAAAACGACAAAATTTTCTGGCTCCTTTCATAGCAAATTTGGACATCATTTTCTCCCTGCACTGGTAGCCGGGTCTCCATCCTGGAAACACCACCTTTGGCTTTTTTTTTTTGGGGTTACTACGTATATATTAAACTATCTAAACAGTAATTTACTACTAGTTCAGTGGGATTTTACTTTTCTATCGGGGTTGCTGGTTGCTTTATGGAGACTTCTAAGTCCTGGGGGTACCCCATTCTCTCATCCAAGTCATTGGACCATGACTCATGACTAGTATTGAAACGTCACCACGGTGACTTGGGATCCTCCATGACGAAAAAAGAACCCCCCCATATTAGATCCTCAGCCTGCTCAGCCAGGTCATTATTGATGATATATTCCCTATTATATCCCATAAAGTCCCATAATATATCCCATTGATGACATATCCCTATGGTAGATCCCATTGATTCTATCCCCATCGTGGAAAATTGCTGAACTCCCTCGAAACGTGACGCGCAGCGCTGGAGGAGCACGTGAACCGCGACCGCGAAGGGGAGATGGCCGCCTCAGCGGAGCGAAGGCGGAAGGCCTTGATGACGGAGAGCGGTGAGGTGCAGTGGGGTGATGGTTTTTGGGACTATGCCATAAATACCAAACATTATATATATATGTACAGTATACACATACAGCATACATAAATATATATATATATATATTATACATACACATACACAGCATTATATGTATATATATATATTTATACACAGCATTAAATAGATATAATATGTATATATATAATGTACATATATATATATATAATATATATATAATATAATATATAATATATATATGTATATATATATATGTATATATATATATATAAAATACATATGTCATACATATACATACATGTCATACATATACATACATGTCATACATATACATACATGTCATACATATATACATAGATAGGTGCGTATGCATATGTGCTATGGGAAAAATATGGACTCAAAATAGAGAACCCCAAATCCAGCGGATTTATGAGCATGAGGTAATCCTGGCAAGGGATCACTTTCATGGGTTCTCATGCCCCACTTTTGAATCAAGACTCTTAGGACTGGCTGGGCTTCTCAATCAGGGCACAGTCGACACTCATGGTTTTCTCCCCAACTATGATTTGGACTGGTGTAATCCTGTTGGTGCCTGCTCTGGACCTTGACAACAGAGATAAACTTCAAGAGTGTTTGGTGTATTCGCACCACCCTCAAGTAGTCGTTGAAGAGTTGCAGTGGTTCTCAACTTTCCAAAATGTTTGCTTTCCATCCTAGCATGAGGAACCCAAGCAATCTTTTTTGAACAGGTTTGAACCACCAACCAGTCCTGCACTCCTTGTCTCCCTTGATAATGTATTACTATATATATATATGTATATGTATATATATATATAGACATAAATCTGGATGGAATTTTACATGATTGTATTGTGTATGTATGTATCTATGTATATATATATATATATGTAAAATATGCATACGTATGATATGTATATATAAATATATACACAGGTATATACAGTACATATGTACATGTCTTTGTATGTAATTACACTATACGGTACGCGTATATACCTATATATATATACATAACAAAGGAAGGTCACATAATTTTGCAGTCTATCCCTCTATCTTTATATCTCTCTATCTCTCTTTCTCTCTATCTCCCTATCTGTCTATCTATATATCTGTCTGACTGTCTGTCTGTCTGTCTGTCTGTCAGTCTATCTGTCTATCTATCTGTCTGTCTATCTATCTGTCTATCTGTCTATCTATCTATTCACAGATTTATATCATACAGGGGTTTCCATAAATGGGGATACCCCAATAGCTGGATGGTTTAGAATGGATGATTTGGGGATACCCATTTTCGCTGCTTCAAAGGACATGCCTCGGCTCCTGGGCAAGCCGCGGTCTCCGGGCTCTCCGGGCTCTCCGGGTTCTCCGGGTGCTGGGCGAAGAGACAGCAAGGTGCGGTTAAGCTCGGTGCTGGGCTTTAGTTTTGTTGGGGTATCTAACCATCAACGATAGGGATTTAACGGCATTCTATGGGGATATAACAGAATATATATATATATACGTATATACATATCTCTAAATATATGTATATATGTACATATCTCTAAAATATATGTATATATTATATATATACATCTCTCGCTCTCTCTCTCTCTCTATGTATATATACACACATACATATATCACATTGCATTGCATTGCATGGCATTGCATTGCATTGCATCGCATTGCATTACATCTACCATTACATTTACATTTACATTACTTTTGGTGTGGCTAAGAATAGGAGACACCCCAAAATGGCAAAATTAAGTGGGAAATTGATGATTGACCAGGGGATTGGCACGCCGTTGAAACTTTCAACCATGGGGATTTCGGGGTTCAAACAACCTTCGATTCTCATGCGATTTCCAGCAACCAACCAGTGGCCACTTACGGACCAGAAACCACAGCTGGTTTGATTCTTTCCTAAAGTGATGGGCCACTACCAGTCATAACTAGGTTTACTACACCATTTAACTTGCAAGTAAACCCCAAGAAATATTTATGGTAGATACCAAAGTTATGAGTGGTTAGGGTATTTCTCTATCCAATACCAGGTTTGATACTTATGGCCTATTGATATGGTGGCCCATCTCTATCGGTACCTCTCCTAGGTGCCCCTGTCCCAGGTACGCCGACCTGTTTCCAGTTTGAAGGGCCCAGAACGCTTCTTCTACGACAAGTCAAGCTACACAGGCACTGCGATGCCGCAAGACAGTGAACGGCAGGAACATATACGTATCAATCTATTTATCTATCTAGCTCTCTCTTTTTCTCTCTACATATATGCACATATGTATATATATATATACATACATGTATGTATGTATCTGCATATAAATAGACACACATGTGTATCACCAACATATTGGATTAACCTAATGGAACATAGTTGGAGTTTTTAGGCCAATATGAGATCTGGGTTTGTACGAGAATTGGTGATACGCCAAAATGGCAGCTTTTAGCGGGGAAAATAATGATTAAGTACGGAATTCTTGGGTCGGATACCTTGTCAGAGGACGAACTCATGCTGTGTCCTGCTTGTTGCATTTGTCGTGGGATTTCATAAGTATCAACAGTGGGTCCACATTTTTTGTGGGTCCAGAATGAGTCAGGTCAGCTTGGTTTGGTATCTCTTTCCTCGTTTTCAAGATTTGCAGCTCTTGAATTCCTGGGGACCAGGGGCATGAGTCCAGTGGTTGGTCGTTGCGGCAACAAGATGACCCGACGCTTCGTTCGTAAAAGGGGAGGGTTCACACCCTTGGCGAAGTGAGACCCATGGCAGATGAATCGATCACAGCCAAGGGATGGGCCAATCTTTTGGCAGCCGCACAAGTTACTGTAGCTTAAACATCGATCATGAAAGTAGGGGAATTTGCCACTGTGATTTTTTGGCGAACAAAGCAACCATGGTTTACTGCTCATGCGAGTCCTCAATCATCGGAGTATGGCCAAATTCTGCGATCCCCTTACATCCAACATTATGACCTCATGACTTGATACTGAATAGGCCTGAAACACTTATACACCACCTAGTGTTGGCTTGTCATTTGGATCCCTAGAATTCTAGAACATCGTTTGACTTTAGGGTTGCCAGGGTCCTTACTTTTATGGTCAACAACTGCCAGGGACGCACAAGCATGGTGGCCCTTCCGTGACGGGCAATGGCTTGCCCAAGAAAGGCTATGAGGACTTGAGTGACTGGCCTCAACTACCAGGGGAGATCCCAAGGATGTACGTTTTTTGGAGCAAGCAAATAGGGAAAATCCAGCAGTCAAGATGGGTAAATCATCATATTCCTCATTTACATGGCAATTTTGGGGTATGCCGTATGCCCGATTTGGGGACAGAACCATGCGAGATTGAGGTGTTTCTTGAAAAAAAAAGGCCGCAACCGATACATTTTCATTGCTTTCCCCGTTGAAAATGACACCATTTTGAGGGATTAAAATGGCCATCCCATTCAAAAGAAAACCATTGGTCACAAAATCTCCACAAAATGGGGAGTGGCTTCGACTCCAGTTGACTCCAAGATGACTGGAGGGGAGTTCAGAACCCCACTGCCCTTGTCAAGGGCATTTAATGATTCCAGACACCCTGCTTCAGCACCAAAGACTGTGATCCAACCATAGCAGCGTCAGGTTGAAAGATGGATGAAGTTATGGGCTTGAAATAGGTTAGCAGCAGTTTGGTGGAGAGAAGGTATTCCCTGTGCACTTCAGTCCCTCAGCGATGAGACTGGAACCAGAGGTTTGGCGGAAGTGATAAACATTGATAAACCGCGGGATCTGGCAGTACCCTAGTTTTAGCAAAGCGGGATACATGGATCTCATCCCAAGTTTGACCAAGGGACGTCGGGGTCTTCCAGCCACACTTTTGAATTGTGGAGTTGGGGCAGCCATTTCGCAAGGAATCAAGAATTGGCGCTCAAGACATATCAGAACATGCGAAGTTTGGGTGATGCCTCGAAACTGGGTCTGCGGATGGGCCAGTGCCCAAGGGAAGCAAACGCCTGCAGACTCTCAAAGAAGCTGAACAAGCGGATCTGGGAGGAATCGAATCTCCAAAGCTTGGTTCTGCCAATGCTGAAGCATCAGAGACGCAACGCCGCATCCAATGGGCAACAGATCTTGCTGAACTTGCACAATTATATTTTTTTTTTACCCGCTTGTGGCGTGGATATTTAACGACGTGCCTTTTTTGTTTGGGACATGTCTGCAAGAAGTTTGGGGCCCGCACAGATTGGTGGAATTGTGGGTTGATTTTGTTTTTTCCCTCGTCCACGAATGAGGCTTGACGTGGCTTGATATGGTTAAAAGAAGGGGAGGCCAAAGCACCAACAAGGAAATCCTATAACGGAAAATTTCCGATATTGATCACTGTTTTGAAACGAATCACGAGGGGGCATGAAACACATTGTTGATGGTTATCCGAATATTTTTTTTGGGTGCTCGGACTGAACAGCTACCACCATCATTTTGTGTGGGTTGAAACCAATTCTCCGCGGAACATGTTGGTCCCAAGCGAATCCGAATCTGGTACCAGACAGATGAGAGCCACCAAGATGTGCAATGGAAGGTCATTGTGGGGGCATTTTTTCACTGCTCGATTTTTCTTTTCAAGGGAACTATCGTCCAATGCCAAAGACCCACGAGGCGAGTTGGTGAGGCGAGACCACGTCTGCAGCCTCAGTTTGTTCCTGATTCTTCGGGCGGTAGGATGCCAGTTCCAAGTGGTGTTGAAAGCCCTCAGAATAAAAGGATGTCATGAGTGGGCAATTGATCAGAAGAAACATTTGAGAAACTGGGCCCAAAGTACAACGGATCGGCCGGAAGAATGAGACTCTGTGACTTGGAGCAGGCTGTTAAGGGATGTTAAGCCAGAAAGTCTCTGAGCCAGTTGAGTGATGTCGCCCAACCCAAGTGGACCAGTTCGCCAACTCATTTCACCAAGCGAGGTGCAGGATGATGAACTCGGTCGGCGCCGCCGCGCTGCTGGCGCAGCTCGGTGAGCGATTCGCATGCCCAGTTCACTAACGAAATGGGGATTTCAGCAGAAAAATGGAAGACATCGGGATTTTTTAATGGAACAAAACTGGGGGCGGAATTAAATCAGCACAGCATGGGGAAATTAGCCAACAATTCTATAGACTCAGCAAGTTGGGGATGGAACCAACAAAAAACAGCAACATGATTTGGAGAATCAAAGCAGTTCCTACATCTTCAAGCGCACAAGACAATTTTGTGGTTCCAAGGTACCAGGTACCAGTGGTTGGACCCATAGGTATAATACTTCTGTGAGGCTGTTGTTTATTTTTGTGAAAGCATCTCTATCAATATGCCTGCTTTAAAGGGGGACGCTCTGTGATGGTATTTGCATGTAATGTACCCAACGGACCAGGTAAAGCCTGGGCGGTTTCATCAGTCATGGGGGTCTTCTGTTGGCAGGGGCTTTGCCAGCGGCATCGCCCGAGTTGGGGGTTTGGGGTTTGAGCCGAGGGAGCTAAGGTTTCATATCTGGTGTGATGCTGAAATACTTGTGGGTAGTTGGACCTAGTTTCCATCATATTTTTTCATCCCTCAACGCCCTCAACATGACTCTTCAGTCAGGAAAATGGCTAGGACACCAATGGCTCACCATGTTTCTCCGGCCAAGGAGGAGACCAGCCCTGTGAGCTTGGCCAGCCCGGTACAGGCGCACCGGTAGCGGAGAGAATTTGCGAACCAGTTGGAGAGGGGATGAGAGGGGTATTTTTCCTAAAATGGGGATATCATCAGTTAAGATGGAGATGAAGTATGAAATATGGGGATATATATAGTATGGTACAATGATATAATATGATATAATTATGACTGAGTTGGGTATGGCTTAGAAATTCTCAAGCAAAACTGGATGGTTCACGACCAAACATGACCAAATTGGCAGGTTGTTGGGTGCCCTAGTTTTGACCCAGAATGTCGCATGCCGAGCCATCCCTGGAAATGTTCAATGATTGCCTCAGGTGGCTATTTGGGCTCAATCTCGGCCTGAGTAAAGGGAGATTGAAATGGGACACAGTACAGTGTATTTTTAAGGATTTCCAAAGAAAGGTAGGACGATCCGGCATACAGAAGTAAGGGTCATCCGTGAACGGGACAAATAGCTGATTGGTGGTGTTGGGTGTCAGTGGCAAATGGAGTCCCTGCCCTGGAATTGCAGGGAGCGTCATCCAACTGAATGATTCCCCAATCATCCAATCTGAATCCAATCTCAAAACACCAATCAGCCTACTACGATGCACTTGAGGGTCAGAACCAAACACCCCACAGTCATGGGCCTGGTAGATGAGCAACACAAAAATGCAAGAGCCTTCTGTTGCTGCTTGGAAGGTGATTGCAATCTGGGACACCAAGTTTTTCTTGACCCATGCTCATGTTCGACTATGCTTTCGGATATCCCCACTTTTACTCTGACAGCTGATGATCTACCGGATGGAACACTTTGGCTTCCCAGCCGTGTGGGTCTGGGTCAGCGGTGTAAGACCTGAACAGTTTCGTTTTGTTTTTGTGAAGATAATACAACATCGAACTTTGAAGGTACTCAATGTCTGGCCGACGCCTATATGCCTATATGGGATCCAAAATTTGTATCCTCAATCCAAAGTCAGAAGGGTGATGTCAAAAAAGAGGAACATCTGTGAGTTTGTGCCTACAGAATGTTGGTTCAAACTAACAACAAAATACTTCAATTATATTCATTATATAGGTATTGTTCGGAATTATTTGATACCCCGTCGACGCCAAATCCTCCACAGGAACATCGTGTCCATTTTGCTACCAGGTTGCCGGGACTTCGGGACCACGAAAATGGGGTTTCCTCAGCTACCCTCAAAAGATCTTAGAGTAATCCTGTATCTTGAGGCAAACTGGAGGCCCCCCTTATGTTGCTGCCACCCAGATGGCATCGTGGCAAAACAGAATGGTCATGTTCTTTTTCTGTGACCTTTAGAGCCAAAGGATCGACCTGCCAGCATCTGCAGTTTGAGCAGTTTTAGTTTTGACTTGTTTGAGCCTTAGCCCTTAGCCAAATCTTTGGTTGGAGAAACTTCCCATTCCCAGTTCCTCTTTCCGTTTCTAGCCTTAAGATCCCGGGGCTTTGATTCTATTTCAATATCATGGGTTCACCGGTGTCTGTGAGTATCCCCGTACATCAATGGTGGGTTGTTTCCCCCTCATTATGGGTTGTCATGTTGATTTACTCCGCTTTCATCCCCTACTCAGGTCACATCACTTTATACATTAGTTGACAATCAACTCATATCTTCAGTTTCAATCCTTCGTTGGTTTGTCAAATCTTAATTTTCCTGTTTGGGTGGCTTGAATCCCAATTCGACTTTTGGATACTTTTGGTGCTATTGACGTTCCAATTTTCCCTCTTTAAAGTCCCAGTTTGTTTCTCCGGAGGCCTCAGGATCTTCCGGTGCTGTTGGGAGCGCCCCGTTCACCCGGGGAGGCCCGGCGCTGGGTGGTGAGGGCATTGGATCGCCTTGGAGATCACCGGCCGTTGAATTTGGATTTTGTTTGGGGGGAATGATCTCATTTTTTTGAATACTTAGCTATACTTAGCTAGGTTTTTTATGTTTTTTTTGAGGGAAATAACTAATTACCATTTTTTGATCCAGAAGCAATCCCCCCCCAAAAATATTTCAGACAGGGTATCAGGGTCTTGGCCCATATCTATGACCTACCAGCTGTGGCTCCTACTGATGTATTTGGCTTGCCGTGAAAGTTTGCAACGTCCACAACCTTGAGTAAGCGGATGTAGAGGAAACATGTATCGAGTTGCCTGCCTCAAACTTCAAAGATACTCTCCCAATCCTTGTTGAGAGGTGAAGGTGGGAAGTCCCAACATGAGACGAGACTGGCAGATGCCAGCGTCACCACCTGTGCCTTGGAGCGGGCGGCAGGGATTACCTTTGCCTGGCTTCTGAAAATGTGTAGGTTGAACTGTTTTTGATATTAGCATCTGACAATCTGGGTAGATGGAGTCACTGCGCAGAAGCATGGAACTAAACTTATTGGCAATCTTCTATGATGTTATAATGTTGAGTTAGTGTGGAGAGAACATGTTCGTGAACGATGCACATGCTAAGTCCGTTATGCAAAGTGTATGTTTGAGATTTGAGGCCCGTTCCCTCTATGTCCGGCAATCTTGCTTGGTATTTTGTAGCTTAGGATTCACAGTGATTCTATTTCTATAATCAAGATGTACTGGAATTATGTTTGGTTGAATCCCATTCTTTTGCTACTTTGATCCAAACTTTTAGAACGGCTTCATCCCCTTTTCTTTGCTGGTTCTATCTCGGAGGATCATCCCACCTAGTCAGTTCATGACCGTGGTTAGCAAGTCTCCGATTCCGGGGGCTAGTTGCGGAAACTAACTCCAGTTCCTTGTCATCATTGTGGTCATATCACCAATTCTTTTGTTTGTGTATATTGGATTGAATTATATATAGAGAGCATTTTTCCATTGTTTTTGTTGGTTTATTGGGTCACACCCCCTTTTTTCTTGGTGATTATACACACACCCATTTGTATCTACTTATACATATCAATTTATGTAGATACTTATAATAAACCATATTTTGCATAGCATTTGTACTATTTATATCTGTTTATATCTATTTATTTATACCATTGTTGGTGACCACAAAATCCATCCGGTGAAAGGGGCTCTCCAAGGTGACTCACAAAGTGATGCGCGCCGAAAGCAGCGGCTACCAGGTGAGCTCGCCATGGATGTCGCCCATGCCGGTCCTGTCGCCCCAGGCGCCCCAGGTGCATCGGCACAGGTTAGGAGTCAGATGGAGAAAGACTCTGGAAACGCCTTTTTTTGGTGCTGGTACCCCCGAATTTGATGATTCATCATTCACAATCATTTGCCCCATTCAAATTGCATTTTTTGGTCTGGAATTTCATCACTTATACTGGACAGCTTTGGAGAATCTTAATTTTTTAAAGCAGGAGTATCATCTATGACTGCATTAATGTGGGGGAAATAATGGGAGAATCACCTGATTTCATGGGCTTTTCAGGGGGTGATTCTCCCTGATGGTGATTGATTCACCTGATAAAAATGGGATGTGCGCAATCTGCGAAGAATCGCCGACGACCATGTCCGCCATTGACCCAGATATCGCCCATTCGGATATCCAATTATGTCGTAATGATACCACCATTTTTTTTGGTTTTGAAACCCAATTTGTGTTGCTTAAAATGCCAATTTGCTTAGATTCAACCCTAAACCATTGTCCGCCATTGGTGTTGGTATTCCTTTCCCAGTTTAGTTTGTGAAAACCGACATTTCCCAGCGGAATCCGCAGGTACAGCATGGGATTCCCACAGCGCCGCAGAGGTGAGGATTTTCCAGAAAGCCATGTTTGATTCCCGGAGGGTGAGGGGATATTCATGGGATATAACTAGGAATATGGGGATATAATTGGGATACATGGGACAATTGAGAGGTACGTTTAACTTTGATATCATAGTGATTTACAGACATTTATGGCTGTGTTAATGGGAAGATGATGATAAACCAACCATTTTTTTTGTGGTAGCCTATTTACAGACGAACCCATTCAGACAAACCCCTTGAGTAGTGAAACCATGTGTGACAGGTCGAGCGTTGGATTGAGATGGGTCAAGCTTTGATACCCACAAGAATGCGATGGATTCAAGGAGTTGCCCAAAAGTGTTGTTACCTGGGTGTGAATTTTTGAGCACCCGAAAGGTAGCGATCTGTTGATCTGTTGATACTCGGTCCATGACTTGACAGGACAGTGCACAGCCCAGCTTGGTACACGCAGCCGTTCACACAGGCCGACTCGGTAGCACTGGGTGATGAAAAGGGTAAGCCGTGGAATGACTCGAGTGAAGACCCGTGTTTTTTCCAAATGGGGTCATCCCATTTGGGACGTGGTTACTCTAGGAACCAGTACTAGAGGAGCCTCCTGAAACTCAAGGTGGATCCGCCAAAAGATTGGAGCATCCCCATTTCTCAGGTTTTTTTTCATGGGACGTGCCTGACTCTTGGAGGTGGCGCCAATGATGATGCCAGTGACCACTGGACTGAGGTGAGCTCTCACCCCGGAGATTCTTTAATTGGAAGCTGGGTCTGGCCGAAAAATCTCTGTTGAACACTCTTGAAAACAATGGGCACTGCAGCACTGCATGATTGATTCTGGGATGGTCATAGCATGATGCCTCAGGCCCCGCATTTGCACGTGAAATTCTTTGATGCATCAATTGCTCACTGAAGCAATGGTGCACACTGTATCCAGCGCACCCGATCCGAGTGCATGCGTATGTGTATTTTATCCAGGGAAACGTCACAGCCAATTTATTGCGACTTGCCAGGAAGTTGCACCTCTGAAGAGGGAGGTTCTTAATGCACTTCTGCCAGGAAGCTTGAAAGTGTAGTCTCCTGAATTGAACGGACCCAATCTAAACACATTTGTTTTGCGCCCCTCCTTTCATTTGCATGTAAAGCACCTGAGCGCGCTAGTGTGCCATCATGATGTCGAAAGTGATGCTCTTAATCATGGTAACAATGATGGTATCAATGATGGTAACAATCATGGTCTGGTAAGAATAATGATAACAACAAGAACAGCGATGGCATTGAATATTACTATATTGCAATGATGATGGCATTCTTTTTATGAACATGTTAGCAATGATAACAAAACAACAGTCACATTCATAATCTCATCATCCCTAGCGTTCGCTCGCCATGCACGGCTGTGAGTTGGCCAAAGAATCTCTTCAAAACCCATCGCAGACCTGAGTCTGCCTGGGTCCCTGGAAGCGTCGCCCTCCCCAGACGTGGGGCCGACAAAAGAACATCCTCTCCGCGTGAGCGTGGTCTGCTGTGGTCTGCTGTGGTCTGCTGTGGTCCTATGACCTAACTTTTCTCGTGAACCAACAACTTTTGTCCAAGGTTATGTGTTTGGACTGGCGCAACCGGAGAGAAAGCCAATGCGTGAGCATCAGCAATTGGTGAAAAGGGCCAAGCGCCAAGTACCACTTGGGCTGTTTCTGGGAGGCGTCTGGTATCTTGAGCACCTCGTATACCTCTCAAAGATTGAACAAAATAGCAACACAACTGGCATCATCTCCTTGTGGTTTCTTCAAACTCCGACCCCCGAAAACCATCGGTGTAGCAGCTTTTGGGGCCATGATCTCACTGGATGAAGATCATGAAGATGCTATGTCCAGATGTTGAAGTTGTTATGGTCCATGGACTCTGCTGAACAGGCCACTTGAATGAATGAAGGATTTGGGAGTCCTCTCAGAACAGGATGCACGACAGTTGAATATAACTCCCCCACCAAATTGCAAGAATTCCAACTGCCCATTTTGTCACCTAAAAGAACTTTATCCAGGACTTTGAACTCATGGAATTTGGATACCCTCAAGGATTGAAATGTGGCAGTTGGAAAATCCCATAGTTCTATCTATTTTATAGTCATTTTCGCATTTCATTTTCATGTGTATATATTCGTATATATATATATATATTCATAATAATAATATATATATATATTCATATAAATTATATATATATTATAATATGTACATACATTATAATATATATATATACATATTGTAATATATGTACATATGTACATATGTATTTATATATATATATACATATTATAATATACATATACTATAATATACATATGGTATATGTATATATAATATACTATAATATATATATCATTATGTACATAATATCTACACACCGACACACACACACATGTATACATAGGCTCGTCCCTGCTCCTGGAACCACATACGATGGGGTGGGGGGGGGGGGGGGGGGATGTCAACGTTCATGTGAATTAACGTGGGATGTTAACGTTCATGTGAATTAACGTTCATGTGAACTTGCAGAAGCAGTTGATGCTGCGCACGCGGGGGGGGGGAGGGGTGGGGTGTGTTAACGTTCATGTGAACTTGCAGAAGTAGTTGATTGCTACGCACACGCGGGGTGGGGGGGGGGGGGGGTGGGATGTTAATTAACGTTCATGTGAATGATGATGATGATACTAATGCTGATGCTGATGATGATGATGATGATGATGATGTGATGATGATGATGCTGATGATGATGATGATGATGATGACCCTAATGAAACTTGTCAATTCCGCGACTAAATTTCATCACGGAATGGACAAGTTTTACCAACCTAATTCAGGTTTGCGCGGTTCCAAGAGCAGGGACGAGGCTATATATACATATAATATCCATGTGCAGATCATTGTCCACCAAAAAAAAAATGCATCCAGCCATCTCTCCATGTGATGTCGCAATTTTTCTTGCTTGAATCCTAAGTTTGGTGGGCTAATATCCCCACATCCCCAAACGGATCATCAAAAAATGGTGCCTAAATCAACAATTCCCCTTGTTTTTTGTTTGAAGTGAGTCGATATCCCACATTTTCTCCCAATCCCAGAGGCCAAACCCACCACCAGAATCGTTTCCAGATCCAAGTTGCAGGACCAAGCGTGCGTCCATCTTGATGCTGGTGACCTGGTGCGGAACCGCCTTTTTTAAGGGAAAAAATGCGAGCTTAGAAAGTTTAGAGGTCCTGATCTTGAATCAAAATAAAGGTTTGTTTTTGTTTCAAGTTGCTGGGTTAGCCTTGTAGACCCAGGGTTTCGGGCTCGTTTCTATTCGAAATCAAGGAAGGCCACATAGTTGGTCCATGGTGCTGTCCAGGGTTTCAGCCAGGCTGGGCCCCGTGGTGGCCTTTATCTATGGCTTTCATCTCAGCTACCAGGTGGGGTCACATGACATGGGTACTGTTCGCCAATTTCTTTTTGGACTCCAGAATCTTAACAATTCTATAAATTGTGCTTTGTGGAGAATATCCTCCCAATTGTGGCCAACGTTCCAGGCTGGGTTATCGGACCTACCTTAAAAAAGGTATTCCAATCATTTCGAAACGGCAGTGATATATAGTGATATACTGTCATCTCCATTGCCAGCTTAGATTTTTCGGAGTTCGAATCGATCGAATTTGGGAGCTGTTTGAAAGGTCTATGTCCTACAGCTTGATGTGATCTTGGCCTCCGTGGGTCTCGGCAGTCTGATGTTGGAGGCACATCTTTGCCCAAAGCTTATTTGGGGCTTTCCTAAAATGGGGATGCCCCCAAATCATCCATTTTAATAGGATTTTCCGTTATAAACCATCCATTTTGGGGTATCCCCATTTATGGAACCCCCCATTTGGCTCCAATCACTTTTTTTCAAAGCCTTGTTGGGAAGCAAACTTGCCCTCATCTTAAACTCATTTATTCCTATAGCTGGCTACAGCTGCTGATTTTTAGGCAGATACTCATTGGGATGCACATGTGTGTCTGCAGCTGGGGTCCACCCCCCCATTCTTGGCAAATCTAAAAGGGACGATGATTCACCCGTGGATTGCGGGTTGCCCTTACCACATTATTCTCCGGCAGTTTCTTTGTACCAGGCTGTGCTGATTGCAGTTCTGGGTCTGGTGCTGGCAGACAACCTGGCAGAGCCCCGTCTTGATAGCAAGGGGGTGAGTCTGGGGTTGGGGTTTTGTGGGCAATGTGACCACTTGATGCCATTTGTGGTTATCTCTTTTTATGGGTAGCCAACTTTTTTTAAAACGCTGTGCCCATCTGGAGATGGTGGAGTTGGAACAATCTCCGGGTCATGACCAGATCCCATTGCGCTTGCCAGATCTTACAGGCGGGTGCGAGCCCACACGTACAACCACGATAATCTGACATCAGCAAATGGTCACAGATGTGCTTGTAGCAATGGCAAACCGTGATGGTGCCATTCCAAGGGGTTGGCAATTCCACTCCCTTCGTAGTCTTCAGTTTCCAGCAATGCTATATTATTCTATAACTTTCTAGATAGACATATCAGACAGACAGACAGACAGCCAGACAGACAGACAGACAGACAGCCAGACAGACAGACAGACAGCCAGACAGACAGACAGACAGCCAGACAGACAGACAGACAGACAGCCAGACAGACAGACAGACAGCCAGACAGACAGACAGACAGCCAGACAGACAGACAGCCAGACAGCCAGACAGACAGACAGAGAGCCAGACAGACAGACAGACAGCCAGACAGACAGCCAGACAGACAGCCAGACAGACAGACAGCCAGCCAGACAGACAGACAGCCAGACAGACAGACAGACGGCCAGCCAGCCAGACAGACAGACAGACAGACAGACAGATAGATAGATAGAAAATAGTGAAATAGAGAAATAGAGATAGATAGATTGATAGAGAGATAGTTATGCATAGATCCATGGATAGATCGATATATCGATAGATCAATAGATAGATAGATCAATAGATAGATAGATAGATAGATAGACAGATAGAGAGAGAGAGAGAGAGACAGAAAGACAGACAGAAAGACAGACCGACCGACCGACCGACAGACAGACACAGATAGAGAGATGGATGGATGGATGGATGGATGGATGGATGGATGGATAGATAGAGATATGTTTGTATAAACAATCAGAATGTATGTACTGTACACACACACATATATATATGAATGCTTAGATGGAGTATAAAGACACTTCCCAAACCCCCCATCACCCCAGAGCTGGGCCCACCATCAGGAGCGTTTGGTGCTACTCCTGGGCAGCGGCGCCACAGTGGCTGCGGGAGTTACTGGGCTGCCCAAAACAGCCCAAACAGCTAATTGGGATGGATCAGCCGATCAACCGATCAACCGATCAACCCAACCATTTCTTTGGTGTTTTTAGAAGAAAGATATGTTTTTTTTCTGGTAAATGAACACGCGAGTCTTCTGTTTGGGATTTTTGGGCTAGAGATTTGGGGAACAGATCGGCTTTAACTCTCAACTTCCGTCGAATGCATATATGGAGATTTAACCAGCAAAAGCGCCGGGAACCAGCAAGCAGTCTTCAAACAACACCAACCAGCACAGAAGCAGGAATTTGATCAGCTATGAGCAACAAACATGGGCATATACTGTATACCAACCTGCCAAGCAACAATAGCGACGCAACACAAATAAAGGGATTCCAATCAACCAGTCTAGAGATGTAGCAAGATAAAGGCATGCTACCCGAAAAGTGCTTGCTTGACCACTGCATAGATGTCCTCTTCCCTCTGATTGATTCATAGAGGGATGCCCAACCACTTGGTTGAGGTAAATGGCATACCAAACCGACCCCTTAAAAAGAGGAATCCAAAGGAACCATACCCGGTATCTGTCTTGGGGAAGAAGTTGTGTGCATTTGCCGGGGACACCTCAGTTGTAGGGGTGCGAGCAAGCTCTCATGACTCATGTAGGTCACAATGTCGATGTGGGTATATCATATATAAAAAGGAATCCTGCAACCTATCGCACTTCCAGATCTGCACGGAATTGACATGTCAAAAGATGTAGCATCAGAATACCTGCCCAAACTTGGTTCAATCGCAATTCTCTATAGACTTTCTTTACCTCAAAGATTTTTTGCCAAAAATCGTTGGCATGGTTGACTGCATGTGCTCCACACACTGCAGCCTTTCACTGCTGGCAGGAACGTAGGATTCAGGCACCCTCCAAAATTCGGAGTTTGCCAGCAACATTTGAATTTGGGATTGATCCGCCACCAAAGATACCACTTTTTGGGCATTTGTTGCTGATAGCCCAAACAGGGGCCTTGGGTCCCTGCTCGAGGTTGTGCTGGGTCTGTTACATTTGTCCTTGGAGTCAAGCACTGCATTTCCTGATCAAGACCAACCCACCACGGTCACTGGGCGAATAAACGGGTTCCCCAAGAGAAATGGTAAGCGCCTATTAAACAGCTACTGGGGGTTGGTTAACTCGGGGTTGGCATTACTCCTTGGCAATCTAACTTGGTTGGGTGGAAACTCCACTAGAAATTAGCTGATTTATTGTTTGAAAATAGGAATTTCCTATTGCGAGCTTTGATTACCAAAGTATTTTGCCAGTAACTCTGAATGTGGTGATTTTCAATAGGAACATCATTTAGCTAAATCTAGTTGAGACCATTGACACGGCTTAGGGATTAACCTTTCATCGAATGGCCCCGCACCATCGAGTACCCGAACATAAACGGTGCCTGTTGGCAATTTCAATTACCCGATTCTTGGAGCCATAAACCCATAGTCCAAAGCAAGGGGACACCCGAAAAGGCCATTAAGAAATGGCGTAAATGATCAAACATGCGATTCATTTTTGGTTTTCCCAACAACAATCAGACAACCCAATATCCCCATGAAACAAGTAGGTACCCTCGGTACTCCGACGGCAGGTGAGCATGCGATGATAGCTGTGCTTTCGGACCAGGTGCTGCACCTGGGGCACCGTGTGGTGAGCAACTGAAGATTGGCAATGGGAAAACCCGCCGACTTATGATTTTCTGAAAACATGGAGATTTCCAGCTGTCAGGTCACCTTCGTTTGGCAGATTACGTTTGAGCCACGGAGTCCTTGCCCTCGTTGACCTCAGAAATTGGAGGCCGCAATGCTTGCCGAAAGCGGTGTGGCTCCTCGTGCCGGTGATGCGCGTGAGGCCCGCGTGAGGCCAAAGTAGCTCACCACTGCGCCACACCCCGACAGTCTGGCCATTGGCCGTGGCGGTGGATTCGCTTGTGTGGCATGAAGCGGGCAAAAGAAGGAGCCAAAATGACCCATTTTGACCCAGGGAGGACAATAAGACCATTGGCACATGAATGACCGATACTAGTTGGTGGTGGTGGTGATGATTGCTGGTGGTGGCGATGATCTTTGATGGTAAATAATGGTTCTGTCTTGTTAGCATCAACCGCAACCTCAACAAAAGGCTTCTGCAGCAATGGATCTCACTGGCGTTCACGAAGTTTTGGTGTTGAGCTCACCGTCCTGAGCTCAGAAAATCTTCCCCTGTAATATCTGTAATTGAACCATTGGAATGACCTTATGACATTGGCAAATTTGGGGATACACCCAGTCGATGCGCCGCTGCGCTTGCGTGGCTCAAGCGAGATTCAACTGGGTGAATCGACCACACACTTTGGGAGGATTATAGAGGCGAGTTGGGCGTGTTGGGAGTTAAGGTGATGTGGTGCTGGTCTGTATGGAGAGGAACAACATGGAACAACTGTGAATGTTGAAGACAAAGACATTATATACTGTATTAATATTTAATTCTAGACGTGCAAAGCGTCATCTGGGGGCTTTCGAGTTCGAGCAGGGTCGATATCAAGGAGTTGCAAATCGCAAAGATGTTGGACTTAGCACTGCTCAGATTTATCATTTTTTACAAGAGGATTCTTGACTCATCCTCCCGCTGTACGCTGGCGGGATCCTGGCATTCCCCCATGTGGATCCAGTCATTTGTTCTGATGGTAATGACGAACATAAAATCTCCCTAAAATCTACCTTGTAGACTGCAGTGCTTGCATGTGCATCCCACTTCAACAATCATTTTTTGCAAGTGAATGGGGTGTTAACCCAAGTGTCTAGCCAGTTAGTTAGTGGGTAATGACCCTATTACCAGTTACACCTGGATTTTGGATGTGGTTGTTGTTGAACCACTTCCACCGCTTTTTTTGGTCCCGTCAGACGTGAAGATGTCGCCGCGACCTGGCTGGATTGGATGTTGGGATTTTCCATGGAAATGAACCATCCAGCTATTGGGGTACCCCCCATTCATGGAAACCGTGTAACTTGCAGTGGTGGACATAGAATTCATGGTGATATGGGTGATATGGGTGAGATTGATGATCTTGGGCTTGGGTGGCTAATGGATTCATTGAAGTAAACCTAGAAACCAAGAAGTCGCTCAAACATGATTTTGCAACCCCGTGGCACAAGCGAGCTTTTTGGGTTCAGCATTTCTTGCATCAGCTTTTGGGACATGCAGTCGTTGGTATTTCATATGAAATACTCTGCAGAGATGACTACTAGGTCCAGGGTTGGCAGGGGCTGTTCTTAGAGCTGAAGGCAAAATCAACTACCAGTCAACACCGCCTGAGATTTCTGTGAGTTTCACCTTAAGAATCTAGATTTGAATCAACTGGTTCTCTGTGACATGTTCCACATATCTGACATACTGGGATGATCCGTGAAATGAGGAGCAGGGGATTCAGCTTGGGATGGCCATGGCACAATTTCCATTTTTGAAACGACAATTCGTCATAAATGGAAATGAACGTCATAAATGGTGAAATATTGCGCAACCTTCCAGCTTCGAAGTTCCAGTGGGATCATCAAACGATGCATTTTCCACGTGTGTATATATATATAATATACATATAGCGGTTTCCTAAAAGGGAGTACCCCCATATCATCCATTTTAAATAGGATCTTCCATTATAAACCATCCAGCTATTGGGGTACCCCCATGACCATGAAAACCTCATGAGTTTCCCCATAGATCCACCCAGGGCCGCTGCAAACCCCGCGTACTACTTCGGCGCCTCGGGCGTGTCCGCCCTGGCCTTCTTCCCATTGTGGAAGGTGCGGGGACCCAGGAGGCGTCATTTAAAACCCATTTTCTGTGACATATAATTGGGGCGTAATAGGCCTATTGCCCACTTACTAAATGATGGATTCACCCCAAATGATGGATGTTTGCTGAAATTATCATGAAGATGCCCACATATCTGTCTACTTTTGGATAGATTGACATTTGTTTCAAGTTGTTGGACTCGTTCGTGTCCTCCAAATGAGGCTGCAAACTTGGAATGATGTCTTGTGACTTGTGCCAGATCGCCAAATACTCGTTGTAATGAAGCTCTTTTTAGACGAAACTATCCGAATCCAGGATGTGAATTTGCCCAACCTGAGTGGATAGATACTGAGGTTCATGGGTTGTACCCTCTGCTACACCTACAAGTTTTATTGTGAGAAGATGCCAGCTCGCCAATCACCAGATTTAATCGGTTTGTGCCTTCTACGGGTACGTTCGGATGGGAACTAGACCCACAGAACCCCAATGATCATGGTTGACCATCTGACCATGGGGCTGATTTTGCAAGATCGCCACTTGGGGTCTGACACCTGTGGTATCATGTGGTCCTATGAGCTTGCCCAAAATGACGGCCCTTCCGAAAAACTATCCTACATTTCTCGATTTTAAGAACTTCTTTGTATTTTATGATTAGGTGAAATTAGGTGTGTCTAAATTCTCTTTGGACATCCTTTTCTTGAACTTTTTGCCACAAAAGAAGCGCAGGCAGCAGCCATTGGCCAGTCGGGCTACAAGGCCTGGGGCCTAAGATGGGTCCAACACAATTTGGGGAATGATATGATACGGTGCTGCTGGATGTGTATCTAATATATGTTATTCGGTCCAAAATTGGGAAATATACCACCTGAAAATGGGGATGTATAAACATATTTGAATATTTTCTTTGGATATCTGAGGATATACAACAAAAATGATATCTGGGTTCGTGCAGGAAGAATCGCCATTTCAATGGGGTACCACTTTTTGGGGACAAACCCATGTAGGCAATTCCAAGACTTGGTTGAATGGACCATCTACAAAAAAACATTTTCGGGAGTAAAATTATGCTCTTCTGTCGCTCTTTGATTTGTTTTTGCCTGAATCCATTGAGTACATACAGTCCCAGTGGTTGATGTGCATGACGACCTCTTCCGAAGCCACACAACGAATCCAACCCGCTGGTTGGTATATTTATGGTGATTCGAAATTGTTTCCTCCATTGCCCCTGGTGGGGATGATTTAAACATAAGTGAGTAATAGTATTTGGGAGATGGATTGAAATCACCGACCTGCGGGGAATCCACCTCATCACTTCCTCATTACTTGAGTTGAGTCCCTTGTCACTGGTGTGTGCAATCTTACTATAATTTTATGCAGTGGTGTAACTCTCAGCAGGCTTTGAGCAAAGCACAATCCTGGCCATGACCTTACCTAAGATGCTCAACTTTGCCAAACAACAGCCGAGCCTTAGCCAATCGGCCAATCTTCTGTCCTCAGTGAATCTCTAAGCTTGGCCCTGACCCTGAGAAGCTTCGCAACACTCCCAATTCATGCCTACCCTCCCTGGGTTTAGTTACTTAGTGTAATCTTAGTGTCCCTTTCCCAACTGGTCTGCCCCGTGTCCAGCTGACGTCAGGTGGAAGGAAAAGGATATTGGCAGAAGTACCTGGAAGCCATGAAGCCTCCTTGGAGAGGCTCCATGCGATGGGTATATCAATACGGAATATCCCCCATTTGGAATGTAAAATTTTGACCCCAAATGGTTGGTTAGTGGGATTGTTTACCATTATATACTATTATTGGGTTTATTAAGTTGATTACATCATTTTGCGAAGCCAGCCCACTTCAGTCGATTGACCGCTGTGAACCTGGGATCATCTCAACTTGCGATCAATGCCTGGCAGGTCGTAGCTCCTTGACTCATGGAATCTCATGGAAACAGGACAGAGAAAAAGCAACACATCAACAGCACATATCCAGTTCTTACAGCGTGATCTATGGGATGGTCGCCCTTTCGCCTTGGTAGTCCTTGGTGGTCCTTGGTGGTCCTTGGTGATGTCCAGGTTCTTTGGTCGTCATTGGTCTGGAAGCACAGAGGGGGGATGATGCACCTGGATCTTTCACAGAGTGACTCATGGCTTTTCGCATGTGCCATGAACAAAACAAATTCGAAATCGACATTTGTGGGTGACTTGTTCCCTCCTATCTGCTTTATGGCTTGGAATCCTACATCGGAGCACACACTAAGCAGTGGTTGACAGACAGATGCTGGATGTTCACCCTAGACCAAAGACCAAGAGTCTTGGGTCAAAAGCCTGCAGTCTCATCCGATTGCTGTTCTAATCTTGTTACTTTCTCAAAAGTTTAGCTTTCCTCAAAACCTGCCTCGATCTCTTTGAAGGTTGGAAAATTCCAAGGATAATCGGGATCTTTCTACATCTTGGAACATCCTGCCACAATCCCTAAAATTCCAGACATCGGATTCCTGGGATAAATGGACTGCTTTTTCAGGCTTCGATTTGGAGGAAATCAATTGTAATCAGCAAATTTCACCTAAAAAAAATGCGCTTTTTCTGCAGATTTTTCTGGAAAACCTTCCCAGCTGGTCCATGGTCCCAGCTGGTCCCAGCTGCTGCCGTGCTGAGGTGGCATGACCTGGGCGCGCGCGGCCATCTTCTACGGCTCCGACACAGGTGCCTAAGTGCCCCAGCCGGTGGCTGCGGGTTTGGTGGTCGCCTCTGGGGTTGCAGGGTGCCTAACATCACTTGACTCAGGAATGTCATGACAAGTTCTTTGATACGTCGTTTTTGCAAAGTTTGTCGATGTTTGTCGTAATAAATACGAAATATCCGAAAATCCATTGCTTCATCATCAGGTTCCCGATTGAACAAAGGCTGTAAACTAGGGCTATGCCACATTTTCATCCAGGCTGAGCCTCCGAAGGGTCCGAAGGGAAAGGGTTTCATCGCACTTCTCCAGAGCGCGCATGGTTTCAGCGGTTTGTGCTAGGCTCCAAGTGGCTGCGCAAGGAGGTGCGAGAGGGACCATTGAGAGATCAAAATTTGGGGCAGTTTAGGGATAAAATTTGACTCAAGTCCACGTCTTTGTTTTCTTTATGGGTTTGTCCCGAAATAGGGAATTTGCCCTAGTTCATGTGGCCATTACATTATATGTATTTTATTAGATTGTATGATATTATATTATATTTATATTTATATTTATATTATATTATATTTATATTATATTTATATTATATTTATATTATATTTATATTATATTTATATTATATTTATATTATATTATATTATATTATATTATATTAGATTGTGTGATATTATATTAATATTATATTATATTAGATTGTGTGATATTATGTTATATTATATTATATTATATTAGATTGTGTGATATTATATCATATTATATTATATTATATTATATTAGATTGTGTGATATTATATTTTATTTATATTATATTTATATTTATATTTATATTTATATTTATATTACACTTATATTATATTATATTATGTTATGTTATGTTATGTTATATTATATTCTATATCTATAGCTATATTATATTATATTATATGATATCATATTATATAAGATTATATGATATTATATTGTATATTATATTATCTATTGTTATATTATATTATATTATATTGTATTATATTATATTATGTATTATATTATTATATTATATGATATTATATTATATTATATTATGTTACATCATATTATACTATACTACACTATACTAATACTATACTATACTACTGTATACAATACAATACAATACAATACTATACTATACTATACTATACTATACTATATATATGTATGTATATGCACATACATAATAGTACATAATAATATACAAAATGTGTAATATAATATACATATACACACAGAATTATGTATAATATATATATATATATCTACATTGGAAACCTCAATTGGTTAGTTCGACATTTGAATCGTTTGCCTTTTCGATGAGGCAATATTTCACACCCAGCTAAAACGATTGAGAATACCACTATACAGCACATCATTTGCCATACATGGGGGAATATAGACAAGTAGTTACCCAGAGAATGAAATTACACCCCAAATGGGACCCGAGTTTGGCCACGAATAAAATTTATCACATTCTTTCCGTCAGATTACCCTTGTAATTTGCCAGATATTGATGTTGCTGTAGTACCCCAAATACCCAAGTTAAACCAGAGATTAGCAATGGGGGATTTTGTTAATCCCCAACAAATACCGAATATATAATAGAACACCAATCAATACCCCGACGAACCAGAGTCTATTATCAATATCATTACTATTTTATTTGGATTCTGGTCTCCAATATAGATACGCGTTATATCACCCTATTATACTCTATAATTCTGATTTTATCATTATTGTTAATATTTTTCATTTTCATTAGTGTCATTGTCATTATTCTTATGCTATCAGTATTTAGTATTGGTTAGCTATATACAGAAATATAACGTTTTTCGCCATGGACATGAACCGAGCCCATGATTTGCCAGGGCTTCTCCACTGCTTTGGCCTCCACCCTGCCGTCCTTGACCGTCTCGTGCTTCGCTCAGGTGCCATTTACGGGGTAAAAAGTGGTGCTGGGGCCGGTGGTGATGGATTTCTTGGAATCTACGAGGTATATAGTAACCACCAAAAGGTAGAGTTAAGTATTTTTTTGCAAGTTGACAGTAGTAGGAAGTTGCTTTTCCATCTTTTTGGGGGTGGCTATAGGGATAGGTAGATAGATCTGAGAAGATAAGACAGACGTGATAAGATACGAGAAGATTAGATCAATGGATAGACAGGTACTTAGATAGGTAAGAAATGGATAGTTATACTTTCGGTATCTGCCCGTTGATGTATCATGATGTATCAACAGGCAAACCTTGGAGATTCAATTCGGTAGGGAAAATAGCTGAGGGTTTTTCGGTGCCTCCTGAGAGATCATCCTGGGGGGCAATGGAGAGCGATGACAGTTGATGCTGACGATGACCGTGATGGTGCTGGTACTGGTCATGGTGATGGTGGTTGTGGTGATGACGGTGGTGTGATGGTGATGGTTGTGGTGGTGGTGATGATAAGAATAAACACAACAGACTAAACATAGTGCATGATGTGAGTCATGCTGATGATGATGTCACCCGTGTCATCATCAGCCGTAGCCGCAGCAGGCTGTGAACCAGCCCTTCGTGCGCTCTTCCATCATGCTGCAGAAGCCCGGTGAGGACGGGGGAAACTGGTGCAGCTCAGGCCTGGTGCAGACTGAGCAATTGATAGCATGCTCATTTGGCTGGACCAGTCCTTGGGAGCTGCAAAACCCTTGGATCTATGTCGTTTTGAAATGTCACAATCTCTCACAGACCCATCCATTCGCCCCAAATCCAACAAATCTCAGGGACGCATGGCAGATTCAAACTTTAATCTTGGGATGTTAAAAAAAAACGTGGTTGTAGTGGTGCATGACCAGCCGCAAGGAGTTGGCCAAGGCCACTTTCCCCAACATCGCCATGCTGAGGCGCAAGATGGACGAGAGGTTGGTGGTTGGTGGTCTCGAGTTTCAGTGATCAGTAGGCAAACAAATGCAAAACAAGGGTTAGTTCACTTATCATTCGGCTGATTTTACCCACTTACGATTCCTGGGGTGAACCCCCAATTGCAGTTTTCTCTGACGTGAGTTTTCTCTGACGTGAGAAAACTGCCCAGCAGATCGCGGTTGAAGCGCAACATCTGCCAGGCATTTGGCCACCACCAAGGGCTTCCAGAGCTGGTTCACGGGCCCCTTGGTCTCGCTGATAGGTCTGGTATGGTCTGACCCCAGTCGCACTACGCCACTCTTTTGACTCGACCTGGAATGTAATTTCCACTGAGGCAGTATGAGGAATCCACCACAACAACCCTACATGTTTTGAATTAGGAAAATGGAAATCATCGAATCACGAAGTGAAACGAACTCTACCAGCAAACAAGCGACAAAACCACATTAAGCAGTGAAGTTAAGTAGCTACTGTAACTACACAATCCAGACCGACCTGGTCACCGTAGCACAAGGCCTGGATGCCGCGATCTTGAAGACCGCGCCCAAGTACATGACGGCGAGCTGGGAAGTGGAAAAAAAGGGCTACGATTGTACCATAACTTGGAGAAAGTATGGCCAAAGGTGGGTAAATGGATGTGACTCTTCACCACTTGGGCGAAGGATTTTTTCCTATGTATTTTTAAAACGCAATCCAAACAAAAATGCTGGCTGAATTCAATTTCTATTTGTGGATGTTTTTTCCCACAAACCATGGATGGACATACCCTCTGGTAATTTAACATAGCCATGGAAAATGGCACAATTCATAGATGATTTACTGGACTATAAAACACGGTGCTTTTCCATAGTTATGTCATGGTGAAATAATCCCCGCCAGAAGAAACACCTTAAAATCCGCCCCGTGAATTTCAGGCCGTGATTATCAAGGACTACATGGGGTTGTGGCTGGCACCTGTGGATCCCAAGGACAAGCAGGCGCTGGGATTTGAACCTCCATAAGTTGAGATATGGGGCCCCTATAACTATGCTTCTATATCTTTAGAATCTATAGTCGATAGTCTATATCCATGGTCTTCATCCGCTTACAACTGGAATGACCTCTAAAAAACAATTCCATGTCTTGATGTGAATATTGGTACCTGCTGTTTTTTCTCACAGCTTGCTGTTGGTGACAGATTCGCGTTGACTCAATGGTGTATGTTGCTTGTAGACCCATTCTTGGAGAGTTCCTTCGGGTACGTTTGTGTATCAGTGTGCAACGATTCCAACGGAGCCCCCGCAAGGGTAGGAGTTGATAGCCTCATTCCCTCGTGATGACTGGGCGGTTTCTGAATTTGTGGTTTCCAGAAGCAAAGCTGGTGTGTGGTTCTAAAGACGTTGCTTCGTTTCCAGTCCCTACTTGTTATGTGTTCCTTTACTTTTCAGGTCATCAGGTCATGCAAATGTAGAGAAACTACCACTTATTTGTGAAATCTGCTCGTGATTCTTGGTTACATACCCATCAGATGGTGACGACATACATATAAATATCATGACATATCTTTTGTTGATTACATACCTATTTTTGACGTTTGAGTACTGGTTCTCTTTCAAATCACCAAGAACTGAGCTGTCCAGGCCACTTTGTTGAAGTCGGCCAAGATTTCGGTGACCGCAGGTGGGATTGGAGTGTCTCCAAGTGGCACATTTGGGCAGTCAACATTTCAGAGGCAGATCCCTTGCGGAACCATTTCCTCACCATTTCCTAACTATCCTACCTTAAGGTAGCTACCTCCCAGATTTGTTGCTAAAACGGCCCATAGTTGTGCGGTCCCTGATTTTTTGTTGGTTGCTGTGCCACCTCACAAGTGTACAATTAGAAGCTTCGGGATTGGAGGCTTCGGGATTATGATTCAATTCGAATCCTGTTATAAGCCAGTTCCAGGATGTTATATGATGTTATACAATGTTATAGATAGAACCCCCTATGTTAGAACCTAGTTATGCAGAACATACACCCCACTTCCACCTGGTAGCGGGTCACCAGGTGTGGCTGGTGCTGTGTTGACCAATCCTCTGGATGTGGTGCGCAATGTCTCTCGGGCCAAGTTTATAGATATGTCATGTCTAGGATCAATCTCTGTATATATACATATATATATATATATGTCTAGCATGTCTGGAGTCTCTACTGGCAGGATGTATGCCTGACTGATCCTTAATATATAAACAATATGTATATATGTATATATGATTATATATGAACGTTTATAGTGATAGTTATAGTTGTATCTGCAAGTATAATTCTAGTTATAATTATGACATACAATTATAAGCAGGTCCGGCTCCCCGCAACTCCGTTCGCTTGCCTGAATCTAAGGAGATGTTCAAGACGGAGGAGGGCATGGTTGCATGCATGATGCGAATGAGCAAGGAGGCCACCGTTGCCTGAAAAATGGGGGATTTGACGAATTTTGACCATTGGCAATGGGATTTTAACAATTTTTAATGGTTGATTCATGAAGTGCCATGCACCCTCCCCCGGAAGGTTTGATACACTGTAAGAAAATTCAACCCAGGCAAAATGTTACAAAGTCCTCAGTAGAGTTTTCACCCAAAACCACAAATACGGATAGAAAAAGGGCAGGATTATACATAGGTCCCGAATGGAGTTTCAGCACGTTCAAGCTGCCCTAGCAAGAAAAACATGTCTTGTTCGCTCCTTGATAATGCCAAAGCCAGTTTGATGAGTCCTTTAAATGGTTGACGGCGGAAATGGGGTTCGACGAGCTGGTTTGATGGGGCTTGTGGTCTAATCAAAGGTGGGACCTACAGTATCAAAACCAACCAGTAGGTTTGGGATGACGGCAGGTTTTTGAACATTTCTCACTTGGATAGTGCTAGCCATGATGGGGGTTGGGTAAATCCTAGTTGGTTGTGAGTTCCGGCGATGTCCCAAATCTGCCTGGGCTCACAAATTTTGAATCCCTTCCCGCTAAGATTAGATGTCCCGAAACGAAAGCCTGGTTTAGTATTGGATTAGATCATTAGATCTATTTATCCATGGTCTCTTATTGCTGTTTTTTTTTCACACTAGGGGGATGGGTTTAACATGAACCATGGCCATGGTAGCATCCATGACGAGCCATCTATGACGAGCCGCGGCAGTCCGGACCCTCTTGGCTGTTGCGGGGCATCGGCAAAAACTGGGTAGCGGTGGCAGCGCCCATCGCCAGCACCATCTTCCTCACCGACAGGTTGGGGGCTGCTGAGGTCCGGGGGTCCCCTCAAAATGGAGTGAGAACCGCAACAAGGATGAACAGAAGCGGGAACCCTTTTTCTGATTTTTTCTGGGGTCTTGCGGCCGCCTAAAAATACGATTCAACCTAACTTTCTTGTTCTTCAACAGGCTGATGCCACTAAAGAGTCTGTTCTTGGATGCTAGTGAAAGGGAGGGTAGCCCTTGTAAGGTCGAGAGTTCTGACACAGGCCCGGACTCTTCAAATGCATGTCAGTAAAGGTCTGAGTGGTTGTCTTGGGTGAATATCCCAGGTTGCAATGCTGTTTTGGTGGATTTCAATTTTCCCAGGAATGGCTTTGGTCTCACGCTTGGGTGCAAATAGTTGTTCCCATGGCTGCCACCTGCGGCAGGTTCAAGGTCTGGTTTGGTGAGTCCTAGGCGCCCGTCGCGGTGCAAATACCGACGGTGTGTCCGTAGTTCTCCTGGTCTTTTCCGGTGTCGTAAGCTGTGAGAGTTTTGCCAAGTCAATGTTTTTTTTAGGTCCGTTTTTTGTTCCCAGCTTTGGGAGCTTTAGTCTCTCGCATGAAGACACCAATTCAGTGTGCTGCCCAATGTAGCACCAAATCCGAGCAAAGTGTGGTACCATGAAAATGGTCCACAGAATCATGGATGACGTGTCCGTGTGACGCCAAACGTCCGGAGGAACAGGACCATCTCCAAGGCAGATTCATAGAGAGGAAATCAACCACATTGATTTCCTATGTCCATTGGTTGATACAGGGGCAATCCTCAATTGAAGAACCGCTAGAGAAACGATCTTAAATGGTATACCAAATTCAAAAAGGACATATCACCGGCAAGAGACCCCAAACAGTGTGGGGAGTGGGAAGGCAATGTACCTGATACAAGCAACAGTAGCTATGGAACAGTAACAGATCAGGCTAGACACTATTGGAACTGCAGCAGCAGGAACTTGCTTTGGCATAAGAAGCAACACTATGTCTACTCATCATGACCTCATACCAGAACCTCATACCCGGGCATGTAAGAGAATTTCAGAAGATCACCAAAGAAGGACCTTCTATATGAAGATCTCACAACAAGATCAACTTCCTATGAGCATCCCAGAAGAGCTTTCATACAAGCACCAATGCCAATGCCAAGCATCTTCAAGATCTTACTGCCAGGGCCTCTTGAGGAAAAAAAAGTCAACAGGATCTCCACAGGATCTTCTCAAAAGGACCTGTACGAGATCATGCAAGGACCTCTTAGAGAGGACTTCACCAGGATCCCCACAATATCTTCGTATCAGAACCTGTCGAAGCTCATGCAGGGACCTCTTAGAGGATCCCACCAGGATCTCCACAAGATCTTCCGACAAGGACCTGCACAAGATCATGCAAGAACCTCTTAGAGAGGACTTCACCAGGATCCCCACAATATCTTCGTATCAGAACCTGTCGAAGCTCATGCAAGGACCTCTTAGAGGATCCCACCAGGATCTCCCACAAGATCTTCCGACGAGGATCCCACCAGGATCTCCACAAGATCTTCCGACAGGACCTGCACAAGATCATGCAAGAACCTCTTAGAGAGGACTTCACCAGGATCCCCACAATATCTTCGTATCAGAACCTGTCGAAGCTCATGCAGGGACCTCTTAGAGGATCCCACCAGGATCTCCACAAGATCTTCCGACAAGGACCTGCGCAAGATCATGCAAGAACCTCTTAGAGAGGACTTCACCAGGATCCCCACAATATCTTCGTATCAGAACCTGTCGAAGCTCATGCAGGGACCTCTTAGAGGATCCCACCAGGATCTCCACAAGATCTTCCGACAAGGACCTGCACAAGATCATGCAAGAACCTCTTAGAGAGGACTTCACCAGGATCCCCACAATATCTTCGTATCAGAACCTGTCGAAGCTCATGCAAGGACCTCTTAGAGGATCCCACCAGGATCTCCACAAGATCTTCCGACAAGGACCTGCACAAGATCATGCAAGAACCTCTTAGAGAGGACTTCACCAGGATCCCCACAATATCTTCGTATCAGAACCTGTCGAAGCTCATGCAAGGACCTCTTAGAGGATCCCACCAGGATCTCCACAAGATCTTCCGACAAGGACCTGCACAAGATCATGCAAGAACCTCTTAGAGAGGACTTCACCAGGATCCCCACAATATCTTCGTATCAGAACCTGTCGAAGCTCATGCAGGGACCTCTTAGAGGATGTCAGCAGGATCTTCACAAGATCTTCCCATAAGGACATGTACAAGATCATGCAAGAACCTCTTAGAGAGGACTTCACCAGGATCCCACAATATCTTCGTATCAGAACCTGTCGAAGCTCATGCAAGGACCTCTTAGAGGATCCCACCAGGATCTCCACAAGATCTTCCGACGAGGACCTGCACAAGATCATGCAAGAACCTCTTAGAGAGGACTTCACCAGGATCCCCACAATATCTTCGTATCAGAACCTGTCGAAGCTCATGCAGGGACCTCTTAGAGGATCCCACCAGGATCTCCACAAAATCTTCCGACAAGGACCTGCGCAAGATCATGCAAGAACCTCTTAGAGAGGACTTCACCAGGATCCCCACAATATCTTCGTATCAGAACCTGTCGAAGCTCATGCAGGGACCTCTTAGAGGATCCCACCAGGATCTCCACAAGATCTTCCGACAAGGACCTGCACAAGATCATGCAAGGACCTCTTAGAGAGGACTTCACCAGGATCCCCACAATATCTTCGTATCAGAACCTGTCGAAGCTCATGCAAGGACCTCTTAGAGGATGTCAGCAGGATCTTCACCAGATCTTCCCATAAGGACATGTACAAGATCATGCAAGGACCTCTGACAGGATTGCATCAGGATCTTCGGAACATCTTCTCACAAGGACGTTCAGACAGCCGCTTTCTGTGAACCATCCGACGCCCCCACGAAGCATATCGCCAAACTCCCATGGCCCAGAAACAACTAGACAGTGTGGCCCGAAAGAAGAGCAGGAGAGAGTAGATAGAAAAGATATGAAGATGAATGAAAATGAATGATGGTGAATGATACTGAATGATGAGTGAGGTTGTTGATGACGAATGATGAATGAACATATGATGAGTGATCATGAAGTTATTATAGCAGTGTAGGTCCTCATGCCGTGTATGAAGGTGACTGCGATGACGCCAAGGAGCTGCGATTTGAGACTCTACAAGGCCTTGGTCGATATCAGGGACCTCTGAGTCTGCACCATGAAACTCTTGCAAGATCGTCATAGAAGGACCTTCCAAAGAATTCATGAGATCTCTTTACCAGGCTCTCAGAGAAACAGCTAAAATAAGCACCGCGCCACGCCGTGAGCGATCCGACATGCACAAAGTGCCAAGAAGGTTGCGCGAGCCACTTCATCCGACCCGCACAAAGTGCCAAGAAAGTTGCGCGGGCAATGTCAAAATTCGCACCGCGCCGCAACGAGAGCGATCCGACATGCACAAAGTTAGGAGAGGGTTGCACGAACGATATCAAAATTCGCGACGCACCACAACGAGAGCGATCCAACACGCACAAAGTGCCGAGAGGGTTGCGCGAGCCACTTCGAAACGCACCGCGCCACAACGAGAGCAACCCGACATGCACAAAACCACAAGAGGGTTGCGCGAGCACACACACACACACAGGTTAGATTTTCGCGAAACATGGCGCGCACCACGAAAACGACGTTTACCTAGGTTTTGGGCACTTGCTTGTCGAGGTCTACAAAGTATTGTGCCTGCCATGAAAAATGAGCCCGAGGCATCCGAAGTGCTGCGCCTGCCTCACGGAATATCAATTCCAAAATCACAAATGAAGACAGCTTCACAAAACTCGATTTTTTCGACCCTTTCAGAATGTCGTTCAAGTTCACCAAATACTGCGTCTGCCACGAAAAATGACCTCCAAAAGCACCTCTTATGCTTTTTCCCATGCCTGCCACCGGTTTTAGCAACGTGCAGAAGTGCCACACCTGCCATGCGGATGGAAAAGTGTCCGATGTCCTGCACCTGTCGCGCAAAACGATGTTTCAGACTTCAAAATGTCCCGAAAGTGCCACCCTTGCCACACGAAATGGACATAGCTAAAAAAAAACGAGCACGGCGCGCCAGTAAAACGAGACCTTCATCGTGCGAGCTTGTGCAGTCGAAATGCACATGGACATCTCACAAGGCAACTTTTATGCGAAAATTTGTAATAAAAAAACAAGGTCCCAGAGAGCGTGCCCTGATCTAACCCCGGCCTTTTAGCTCCCTACCGTAAGAATGCTTCCGTGTGGACACATTGTTCGGAATCAGTGATCAACCCTCCCTGCCTTCTTTGCCGACAAGGAAGACGCTTTCTATCCATGGGAGATCCAGTCCTCCGGGGGTGTCACCACTGGGACATGACCCAGTGTCACTCGCTGGGGCATCCCAAATTTTGAGGGCTTCAGCCAGTGAGCCGCTGCTGTTGGGCTGTCTACTGAAATTATTGTTGTTGTTACAACCCTCCGTTAGGTCCCCGCAATGAACAGATTCAACAGTAGATGTTCTATCTGGAAACACCAAACCAATATAAGTTGGCAATATTTGATTCCGCATTCATGCCCCTTCACCCGAGTGGAAGCACCATCATCCATATTCCAAGGACAAGAAGCCAGGGAAAGTGAATTTCTCTGATTGGTGATGACCTTTCTGTTTCAATGCTGATGCTCTCCAAACTCCTTTGTTTCCCTTTTGTCTATGATTTTTGGTCCTATTCTCTTGGCCAAGAGAGTTCGCTCTTCACATCGACCGCTTTAACTTTAGAGTTGACAGCAGCAAGCCGGCTATGCGCTGACGGCAGGCGCCACGCGCGCGCCACATGTTTTCCTTAGCCGCTGCACTGGCTCTTGAGCTTTCTGAAAGCGCATCTAATCCCACCGCTTTTACATGCGACCAAGCAGCTGAGATCAAACTCCGCACTAATTTCTCTGATTGGTGAGTTTTTTGGGTTAGTTTGGTTGTTAGTTGTCAATGTGTAGGACTGGTTGCCAATCTTTTTTGGCGGAACCCTCTGTACAGCCAATCGTTTCCCAGGTCTCCTAGACTTCATGATGTTCCCGGATTAAGCTGCCCCTCCAAGCCATATGGTTCACCTACATGACCTCTAGACATCAAAGTGTTCCCGAAGATGGGCCCACCAATTAGTTGTAAGCAAAACTTGCATTCCCGTACAGTTGATGGTCAATTCCTTGGTTTCCCGTAACTATTCTTGTGTGAAACCAACCCATTGATGTAAACATTGGAATGTTTTCAATCAAGGGGATGCAGCCAATCAATCAAGGGGATGCAGCCAATGATCGATGATTCCTAAAATAAAAACGCATTTGAGACATAGTATAGATCGAATTGCTACAGGGAACGGTTTTAGACTTTGTCGCAGATTGCGTGGCAAATTGCTTCGCTGGCAATACATGCGACTCGCCCACCAATTTGGTCTCCAAAATGCCTGTGGGGTGGTTTGAACTTTGCATAGGTTGGGGAAGGAGATCGCAGTGATGGTATAGTTCATGTAGCGAAGCTGCTGTGAGAATTGGATTCGGACTTCTTCATATGTTGTTATGTTTGTCGTTTTTTGTAATGTCTTTTTCGTTCGGTGACATCTGTAAGAGGAGGTGCTTGCATTCCTATTTGGATTGCAGGACTGGCAAAATTAGTGAGCAAAGGTGCCGCGCAATCGCTTGGCTCACCGTTGTTGGCATTGAAAGGCATTAAGCCTTTGCTAAAGTTGTGTTTCAGGGTCAGGCACTGTGAGTCAATTTTGTTGAATCTGGGGCTACTTTTCAGATCCATAATGTCTACCAAGCACCACGCGTGACTTTCAGACATGGATCTTTCCACGACTCTCCCAGCAGTGAAAAATCAAGAGGTTTCCTTCTAGAACCCACTGACATTGGCTGCCACCTCCAATAAGGCATGGTTTGATCACCGTTGTTTCTGTCGGGGCTGATGTCCACCATTTTCCACCCTGCCATGACCAGCGTCTACAACCTGCTGCGCGCTCCGCCCGCGGCACCTACAACATTGCCAGACGATGGCAGGCACCAGGTGAGCTTTGAAAAGGTCACCGTTGGGCGGCCCAGTTTGACCAAAAGTCGTAGTAGGTCACGCCATTCCCGGTCTGAATTGAAGAGGTGATATGTATGCATGTATGTATGTATATATATATATATGTATGTATGATATAGGTGAGAGGTGGTTGTTAATGCTTAGGCTTAGATTCCATTTTGGCTGAGTACTCCACATTGTTTTTGGTCACATGTTGTTGGTTACATTTTTTCCCCAGATAGCGAAGCTATTGGGGTTCTTACTTCAAGTCTAGGAGGGATTGCATGTCTGCGTTTTGGAGCGGGCATGTTGGTGCCGCTGCAGGGTGCCGCTGCAGGGTGCCGCTGCAGGGTGCTGCTTGAGGGTGCTGCTGTCAGAGTGGCCTGTGCGCTCTGGAGCGGGCATGCTGCCGCTGCAGGGTGCCGCTGGTGCTGCTGTCAGAGTAGTGTGTGGGCTTTGGCGGGCATGCTGGTGCCGCTGCAGGGTGAAGGTGCTGCCTGTCAGGCTGGTGTGTGCGCTTTTGAGCGGGCATGCTGGTGCCGCTGCAGGCTGCAGGCTGCTGTCAGAGTGATGTGTGCGCTTTGGAGCGGGCATGCTGCCGCTGCAGGGTGCTGCTTGAGGGTGCTGCTGTCAGGGTGGCGTGTGCGCTCTGGAGCGGGCATGCTGGTGCACTGCAGAGGGTGGTGCTTGATGGTGTATGAATGTATCAGTGCATGAATGTATGCATGAATGTATGCATGTATGTATCTGTGTGTGTTTGTGTGTCTGTCTGTCTGTCTGCCTGCCTGCCTGGCTGTCTGTCTGTATGTATGTATGTATGCATGCATGCATGGATGGATGGATGTATGTATGTATGTATGTATGCATGCATGCATGCATGTAATGTATGTATGTATGTATGTATGTATGTATGCCTGCATCCATGTATGTAATGTATGTATGTAATGTAATGTAATGTAACCTAACGTAATGTAATGTAATGTAAAGCAAGTATGTATGTATGTATGTAATGTCATGTCATGTCATGTAATGTAATGTAATGTAATGTATGTAATGTATGTATTGTATGTAATGTATGTAATGTATGTAATGTATGTAATGTATGTAATGTATGTAATGCATGTAATGTATGTATGTATGTAATGTAATGTAATGTTTTGTAATGTAACGTAATGTAATGTAATGTTTTGTAATGTTTTATAATGTTTTGTAATGTTTTGTAATGTTTTGTAGTGTTTTGTAATGTAATGTAATGTAATTCAATGTAAGTATGTAAGTATGTAAGTATGTAAGTATGTAAGTATGTAAGTATGTAAGTATGTAAGTATGTAAGTATGTAAGTATGTAAGTATGTAAGTATGTAAGTATGTAAGTATGTAAGTATGTATGTATGTATGTATGTAATGTATGTAATGTAGTTAATGTCTGTCTGTCTGTCCGTCTGTCTGTCTGTCTGTCTGCCTGCCTGGCTGTCTGTCTGTATGCATGCATGGATGGATGGATGTATGTATGTATGTATGTATGTACGTTTGTATGTATGTATGTATGCATCTATGTATGTATCTATGTATCTATGTATCTAATGTATGTATGTATCTATCTATGTATGTATGTATGTACGTATGTGTGTGTTTGTATGTATGTGTGGTATGGAATGGAATGGAAAGGAATGTTATGGAATGTTATGTTTTGTATGAATGCATTCATGCATGCATGTATGTGTGAATGTATGTAATGTAATGTAATTTAATGTAATGTAATGTAGTGTAATGTAATGTAATGTATGCAAAGTATGTAATGTATGTAATGCATGTAATGCATGTAATGTATGCAATGTATGTATGTATGTCTGTATGTAATGCAGTGTAATGTAATGTGATGTAACATTCTGTAATGTTTTGTAATGTATGTATGTATGGATGGATGTATGTATGTATGTAAGTAATGGTATATATGTATGTATGCATGTACGTTTGTATGTATGTATGTATGTTTGTATGTATGTATGCATGTGGGTATGTAACGTCTGTAACGTATGTAACCTATGTAACATATGTAAAGTATGTAGCGTATGCAATGTATGTAACGAATGCAACGAATGCAAGGCATGCAACGCATGCAACACATGCAACGTATGAAACGTATGTATGTTTGGATGGATGACGGATGGATGTATGGATGTATGGATGTATGGATGTATGGATGTATGCATGTTTGTTTGTTTGTTTGTTTGTCTGCGTGTATGTGTGTAGATATGTAACATATGTAAGGTATGTAACGTATGCAATGTATGCAAAATATGTAACGTATGTAAGGTATGTAACGTATGCAAAGTATGCAACGTATGTAGTGTATGCAATGTATGCAACGTATGCAAGGCATGCAACGCATGCAACACATGCAACGTATGAAACGTATGTATGTTTGGATGGATGACGGATGGATGTATGGATGTATGGATGTATGGATGTATGCATGTTTGTTTGTTTGTTTGTCTGCGTGTATGTGTGTAGATATGTAACATATGCAAGGTATGTAACGTATGCAATGTATGCAACGTATGCAACGTATGCAACTCATGCAATGTAGGCAACTTATGCATTGTATGCAACATATGCAATGTATGTAACGTATGTAACATATGTAACACATGTATGTATGGATGGATGGATGCATGCATGCATGTATGTACGTATGGTCCCTCGACATCTGGACTCGGTGTGTCTTTTTTGATTTTCTGCGAATCCCCCAAGAGCTAGTGATAGCCGTAGCGGCCGTAGCGGACCCAGGTCAACTCGATGAGAGTGAAGTGGATGGCCGAGCTATCACTGGAACCCCAAAGCAAGGCCAGGGTCGCAGTGTAGGTGGGATGGGAGAAACACCCCAGAGGCAGGTGGAACTTCTGTTTTTAGGGGCCCTGCATTTGCAGTTTTTCACTGCAGCACTAATCACGGCAGTTTCAGGTCTCCATAGAAACTACCTTGAGTCTGGCTCAGTCCGAGGCGCTAGGGTGGCACCAGTTGGGGGCCTGGAGGCCACTTAGTGTGGAGGAATGTAGAAACAGGCAGCTTGGTGCATTGAATCAGCAAACGCCACTGGAGATCGCGGGAAATGACCCGAAGTTCTCAAAATCACGGGATGAGCGGCATGCTGTTTGAAATCGAAGTGGATATATTGATGGAATATAAAACGTGGAATCCCAATCCTCTATGAGTTTGTTGCAATATATATGGTGGAATATTTTGTACTAACTCTTTAAAGGAACCGCCAGATGTGCCATCCTTTGATCATCGAAGATAAACCGTTGATCCAAACGGCAGGCTCCACAGATCCATCGAACATTGGAACTGGTGACTGGCCCTGATGGTGTGATCGATGGTGTTGCGGACTTCCACTTTCTGTTGCTCGACGACGTGAAGCCCAAGGGTCTTGAGCAACAGGGGAAGTTTCATCCTCATGGGACAGTCACCTGCAAAAATGTTTGTAAGATATTGTAGGCTAATTTACTTTGGTTGGTTTTGAATATTATATTTCTTGTTTTCCATATTTGGGAGATGATGATCTAAAATTTAAAATGACTTCAGAGCCATCAGCTAGAAAAGCTCTGGAAGCTTGGGATTTCATTTGGACCAGTCTAACAAAAAACCATCAGCAGAATGAATTTGCCACTTGTAAAGCCGTTTCAGAGCCTTTCTCGACCTCCCATGAAGATTAAATCAAGCATCCGACGGCCCCGGTTCAAGACATGGCCACTTTCATCTTCCTGAGTCTTCATTGGTCCGGGTAAATCCACCAATCGCGGCGGGGATCCCGAGGTTACCTGGGCAGGAGTATGTCTTCTGTTTGTACCTTGAAAGATCTAAAGGCTCTGGTTTGGGCCTGTCACTGACTTACTTGACCCGCAGATCATGGGTTGAAGGAATCCGATCCACCAGAATTTGTGATAATGTGGATGGAAGAAATCCTGAACCAGTTGTTAGATGATATATCCCATTATAGTCCCACTATGTTGTGATCATTGTGAGATCTGGTCCCTGCACCTTCCACGGAGTAGCCAATGACTTGACACATACCGAACCGCAGACCCACTGCTGCGGCGGTCTGCGACCACTGGGCGATGTGGAATGAATTTGCCCTTCCACCTGGCGATGATGATCCCAGCAGTGCTGATGGCAGCAGGGATGGGCTGCGAGATTTGGGACGTTTTCTGCAAGATTTTTGGGCATCAAAAAAAGTGGCAGATGATGGTCGATTGAGTCGATTTTTGGTCAGGAATCTGAGTCATTTGTGGGAACTGAGCAGAAGTTGCTGGATGTGTCAAGCATAGCGGTGGGAGATTGGGCCACATGTTGCTGTTTGAACCCCAGCTACCAATAAAGTTGGGGGGTGATGACCTCACCAAGAACCAAGATTGAAGCACTGTTTAACTCTGGGCTATTTGGGTGTATCAGAGTATCCATATCCCCGAGACCATTTTTTTGGGCACTGAAATTGTGCTCAACGTCAGAGGAGATGTGGATGACCTATGTTGGGGTGGAGCATGAGCTCGGAGAATGGCTTGGAAGTTGTGACTTCGTCGCACCAAAAATGACCACCTGGAAACCCAAAGACCAGGGATAGGAGATGGACCAATGGGATCTAATTGGATGATGGACATTGATGGACATTGTCATGAAATGTCATGAACTGTCATCATTCAACCTTGTCATAAACCAATTCATAAAGGGGATATATATATAATTATATATATATATATTATAATAACTTATATGATATAATATGTTGATTGGGATTGACTCAGGGTGGCCTACGCCAGAATTAGCACCCTGTAGTTCTTCGAAGTGTGCCAGTAAACAAACATAGAAACTGGAAATCCCGATCTTTAATCAAGGATTTTTTATTGCCATGTTCAATATTGCCAGACAGGAAGTCCACTAGGTGTGAAAAGCTCGGGGGCCTTGCACCATTTTGCACCTATGCTTTCTTTGTCAGATCCCATTTCAGTTGGTTGAAACAGTTGAAACATGTTGTTGGTTGAACTCTCACTTACCCATCCAATTTCTCTTCTGCCCCTAAGTCTCATATAGGTACGAGTGAGAATTGAGCTCTACTAACAGACACTTTTTTCCGATTTGCCACTGTAGGTTGTCAGTACAGTTACAACCAGCAACAGTCTGGCTGAGAAAAGCAACCAAAACACAAATCCAATCAGCAGCTGCAAAAGATGTTCTTTGCCTGCTTGATGTTTGCAACCTGATCCTCTTTGATGTCACTTGATGTCTGTGCATGGGCGGATTATCTGTCCATGACCCGTGTGAAAGAAACATGCAAGGTCTCAGCTGCCTTATGTCCACATAGCAATCTCGGTCTGGGAGAAACTCCTTTAAGCCACGATGGCTTTCCAATTGTCGAAAGAGAAACTGCTCTCTTCACTTCACAAGCGTTCCACGGCAATTTGGGCGCAGACTTCCATATCCAGTTCAGCATGCGTGACCATGCTTCAGATTGTACAGCAGGTGTTTGCCGTGCCATGTCCCCTTGTATATGGATATTGTAAAGCAACGAGCTGGCAGTGCGCATATTGGTGTGTTTCTGTTTATATAGAGGCAGTACGTGGTGTCCTTGTCTTGCTGACAAGCACAAAGTCAACGTACATTTTAACAGCACACATTTGTACCATTCCCTTGCGAAGTTGGCCAAACTAGCTATCGCTATAAACTGTCACTATTCTATTTGTTGTCCTCCCTTGAACTTTGACCCATACCCGATTTCCATAGGCAACTTGTGAGGTAGGTCTCCTTTTTTTGGGTGAAGTCATATCGCAATGTTTGTTCCTTAATTCCCCAGATCTCGCAAGGGCTTGTCCAAAAACTGGGTATACCCTCAACCCCTAGAATCCGTTCGTCTGTCATCATTTTCCCCACTAAAGTTGCTACAAAGTAGGTGTAAAGCCACCGTTTTTGGGTCCCAACACCATATGGGTGTGTCTGAAACAACAAAAGTGCCCATGTTCTTGGAAGATTGTTGATTCATGTTGATTCAGCATCAAGGTTTGTTTGTTCCAGTAAATTATTGGAGCACGCCATAGTCGAGGTCCGGAAGACATGGTCTGGGCTGTGCAGCCTTCCTTTGAGCTGCTGCGTGGACTCTGGCGCAACGCCTGCTTCACGCTGCCCTCCACGGGTTCCCCGGTGACGCAATGCCCGAATCCCATCTCCAGGTGTGGTGATGGGATGGGAAACCCCGGTTGGTTGGGAGACAGTCCTAGCCCGCAAATACTGTGATAAACCCACTGCGATCAAGCCCCAAGCTAGGAGGTTTTGTCATTTCCATCCATTTCTGGTGATATTGGAGATGATTGATTCTTGGCTTTACCACACTGCATGGTGTAGCTTGCGGCAGCGGCAGGGGCTGTATGGGTATGTCCCGAGCTGGGCAGATGCAGGTACTGCTTAGACCTGACGCGAAGCCAACCCTGGTGCCTCGGTTGGGTTGGCTACGGATCTAACAAGTACACTGCGACATGTTGGATATTGACAAATCTATTTGAATATAATTTGAATATCATTTGAATATACAGAGTTGCGACGATGGCACGTGATGCTACTTGCGCTGGCTCTGCTTGGCGAAATCACCACTCGAAGTGAAGGATGCTAACAGAGACTTGGTGGTAGGTCAAGATCAAATATGTCCCAAAATGCGTGAACATAAGAAAGTCGGAGGTTTGCTCGGGTTCAAGGGTGAAGGACCCGGACCCACTTGTGGCATCTTTAGTGAAAACAAATTCTTCTGTGCGTTCAAGATGATGAACGGCCGCAATGCCAGCATATATCAAGATGGCTGAAAATCGATTGCTGTCTCTGGGCTTGCTCTGCTGCAATGGCTGCTGCTACCACCTGCCAGTCGTACCTGAACATGTTGTAATCTTTCCGCATTGAGGACGCCTCAGGAGCTACCTTTAACGTGCTTCTTCAGCTACTTTTCCAGCGATAGAGACCAGTAATTTTGAGGCTTCATCTTTGGACCCGCTGCCAATTCCACAAGCTCTAGCCATGACATTGCCAGAATGCCGTGACCCACGGTGTGCATTGTTTTCGCCAAAGGTTGAGGAGCAAAAAGGTGAGGCGTCACAAGGGTGATTTCCGCGTCACAGCGACTTGGCGATGATGGTAGGACCCACATCTCCGTGTTGATGATTTTGTTATAGCTATATTTGCGCTTTATCCACTGTTTGGGAACATATTTTGTTGACCAATTTTCCCAATGTTCTTGTCTCAATTGTATTTATTTCCTTTTTTTCATGTTTTCAAGATGTAAAATCTCCATTTTGAGGCCCGCAGGGCTCTGTTGCGAAGCTGCGCAGGTCAACGCGGATTACAGACAGACCTTCAAGCACTGCGAGAAGATTCACTTGGAGAACCATCGCAGCACCTGGACACCAATTCAGCCCCAATTATGGCTATTTGATAGGGAAAATTATGATCAACCAGGGGATTTTTGGGTACCTTATTTTCAAACACAGCCATATAGATATGATACTAGTTCATTGAGATGCTACCCCATCATAGCTTTGTAAAGAGACATGTTTTTCTAGAAATCGTTGGTGAGGCGGCAAATGACTAGCTCTGATTTCCAGGGTTCGATTGAGATTCCAATGAATTTTGAACTGAGTATGCCAGAGTTCCAGACTTGGGATCCTTTAAGTTCATCATGCTCTGGGGAGAAGTCCCGGATGCTCGACTGGATAACCAGATGTTTGTTTCGCATGGCACACATGCCGTGTGAAGGTACCTGGATTACTCCGGACCTGGTGAGCAGTTTGGATCGATGCCGAAAGGAAGATTCTGATCTAAAGGCAAGCTTCAGGGTTGATCTTTTTGATAATGATGATGATGATGATGACGACGACGATGATGATGATGAAGATGGTGGTGGTAATGGTGATGGTGATGGTGATGGTGATGGGGATGGTGATGGTGATGGTGATTTGGATGGTGATGGTGATGGTGATGGTGAGGATGATGTTGATGATGATGTTGATGATGATGATGATGATGATGATGATGCTGATGCTGATGCTGATGGTGATAGTGATGATGATGATGATGATGATGGTGGTGGTGGTGGTGGTGATGGTGATGGCGATGGATGGTGATTTGGATGGTGATGGTGATCTGATGACGACGCTGGTGCTGGTGCTGGTGCTGGTGGTGGTGGTGGTGGTTGTGGTGGTGGTGGTGGTGGTGTTAGTGTCAGTTGTCCATGATGATCTTGATGATGCTTGTAGGCTCCACACTTTCACTTCGCTGGCCCGATCCAGGTCTATTCCATTGAGCTTTGGGAGAAAAGATCCTTGGGTGCAACTTAGAGCGACCTCACCACCCGGTCACGGTGAAAGGGGAAAAATCCTCAAACGGCCGAACTAATCAGGTTTGGGAAAAATCATGTACTTTGAACGGAAGCTGGGAAG